AAAAAAAAAAAAAAAAAAAAAAAAAAAAAAAAAAAAAAAAAACGGGGCTCGCGCGGATTGCCGGCGGCCTCTTCCCCGACGGCTCGGGCGGCTCCGCGGGCCCGGGCGCTGCGCGGGCGGGCGGGCTCTCGACCCCGCAGGGCGCGCCGGGTCCTCGCCGGCCCCGCGAGGGTCCGGGGCGCGTCGCGAAAGCCACCGGCGGCGCTCCGAAGCCCGCGCGGCGCGGCGCCAAGGAGGTGCCCGGGAGCTGCTCGGGCCTCCCCTCCTTTGTTCAGCGCTCGCGAGACCCCGGCCCCTTTATTTGCTTCCCCTTCGGAGGGCGAGCGAGGGGGCAACTAGCAGCCCGCCAGGTATAAACCAATTTCGTAAAATGCAGTTATAAAGATAGAACATTTGTGCCTAATCGAGTTACGCACTCCGCGCCCCTCTGTTCACAGCCAAAGCAAATTAATGGGTAATCAGGTTACCGCAAATGGAGGGATGAGAGCGAGAAATCTAATTTGATATTTTGCAGAAATTGCTCCTAGAAATATATATTTTTATGGGATGAATTAATCTGCAGGAGGCGTTTGCGGGCTGCGCGAGCGGGACCCGTTTCTCTGCCGCCGTGGGTGCGATCCAGCTCAGCCTATTGACCCGCGCGGACCGAGGCGGGACACGGGCGGCGCTAGCCCCGCGCAGCCACCCGGAGCGCGCGCGATGGGCTGGGAGGTGCCCGGCAGAGCCGCCTCCGAGACGCCAGCGAGCCCGGGAAGGGCCCCGATCCGCCCGCCCGCGCGTCTTCCAGGAGCCCTTCGCTCCTCGCCCGCGCCATGACGCCGCTGCAGCTTCGGAGGGGCCCCTCCTCGAGGACCCACCCGCGGATCCGGGGGGACCGCTCTCCGCGGAGGCCTCCCGGGTTCTGCCCGCAGGAGAAGCTCCCCCGAAGTGGATGGGAATGGCGCCAGCGCACCGCCTCGTTGGAGGAGGACACGAGGACACGCATCGAAAAAGAAGGGTGATCCCACGGAACTGAAGGGGTCTCCCTGCCTGGAAAGGAAATGGACGGCGGCTTCGCACCCGAAGCCGTCCCCTCCGCGGGCCTCCACCCCCCCCCCGCATTTCCCACGAAGGAAGGACCCGTGTCAGCGGGGAGCTCGGCACAGGCCCGCCCGAGGGAACTCCCTCCCGCGGCCTGCTCTGGCGGGGCGAGGGCAGCTCCTCCCTGGCCGGCGAGGCGTTCCGCGCGAAGCAGGCGAGGCCGTGTGCGCCTCCGGCCCTCTTGCGCTGCCCCTTCGCCCCCTTTCTTTCACGTGACGGTGGTCGGGGGCTGCCCTCCTCCAGGGCACTTTTGCCCTGCGCAGGTCGGGGAGTGGATCGGGCGCTTCGGGCGCCGCGTGCGGCCCGGCGCGAGGCAGGCTTGTTCCGAAGCAGACCTCACCGCGTCCTCCCGCACCGACTTCCGAGTAACAGGGCTCGGTTGCAGCGGAAAGCCCCATTGAGTCCAAAGGGCAGGGGCCGAGCGGGAGCGAAAGCCGTGCAGGTGGATTCGATGGGGCCAGGTCGGGAACAGCCTTGGGGGAGGCGCGCCCGAGCGCCTTCCACTTCCTTACTGTAGAGTAGACGCGGGGAGTCCTATCCAGGTGCGGATCCTAACGTGGAGGGGAGCTTCTAAGAGCCGGATCGGCCCCACTAAAGTTTAAAAAATTGAGTAAAATATATATGTCGCTTCTAGAAACGGACTGGAAGGATTTGCTAGTCCTGAGAACGCCACACAGGGCGCTGGGAAACCCCAAACGATCGAGATTTTGAGTGATGCTGGAGCGAATTCCTTCCCGAAACGAATAAAATCGAGGAAAGGCAACCTGGATTTTCTTGCAATTATTAAAAAGTAGACTCAGTACCGATCTCTGCGTTAGAATGCAAAAGCCGGTCCTCTTTCTTCTCTTCCTTTCCACATATCGCACTCGCGGCTTTGCTCCATTCTTAAAATGGAAGCGAATCCGGATTTTGTAACTCGGATGACAAGCTCGTTTTGCGTTTTGATCCTGAAAGAGAAAAAAGGACTGGCGTAAAACGGAAGTGAGGTGTGGGAAGAGAGAGACGCGCCCTTAGCAGCTCCGCTTTACCTAGAAAAAGATAACCGAAATCTCAGCTTCGAACATTTTCATTACGAGAATGAAAAGACATAAAATCACCTGAAATCGGATTCTGGTTTTAGGAAGGTGATAGGAACTGCGGCCACTAGATCTTAAGGATTTCCTAGTCGATCTCAGAACTATCTGGGAACTCAGAGAATGGAGCGCGAAACCGATCCCCGAAAGAGACCAGACCTGCAGAGCAGCCAGCAGCAAACGGGCGGGCACCAAGCCAGGCGGCGCAGGCTGAGCGCAAGTTATCCCTAGAGAGTAAAGACGCGATCCTGAGCATCTTGAAGCGAGAACGGCCGGCTGGAAGGCCCTGTGCTCTCCCCAAGCGCGCCTGGCACTGCGCTCAAGAGCCACCGCCCTGCCTGGGCCTCCGGTGCGCGGGGACTGCAGGCAGGCGCAACCGGCCCGCAAGTGGCGCTGGGCGAACCCGCGCGGCTGCCCAGCCCCGTTTGTGGGAAACGCCGCCTGGGAAAGCGCCCGCACGTGCCCCGCGATCGTGAGCAGAGGCCGCCCGCCCGCCTCAGGGAGTGGCCGCGCCGCGAAAACGCTCTGCGGCATCTGCAGGAGCGGCGGGCGCGTCCGGCGCAGATGCGAGATCCGCGTGACGCGCATCTCGCGTGCGGCAGAGCAGAGGTGGGCTAAATCGGCGCAGGACTTCGCTGTCACGTCCAGACTGGTGCTCCCCAGATGTGTCGGACCAGAACACGCACGGCGGGCTGTCGGAGTGATAGGTGCTGTAGTCCAACACCGAGCTGCTCCAAATCTCATTCAAAAAATATATCCCGGGGCAGACGGTTGAGGGCAAACTGTCCCAGCCCGCGACGGCGGCAGGGCTGAAGCGTCCCGCTCTCTGTGGCGCCTTCCCCAACCAGGCACCCCCCAGAGGTGCTGGGTTACAGTCCCCATGATACCCGGGCGCCACGACGGACGGCTGAGAACGGGTACAACCCCACTCCTCCGGGGGCGCCGGCAGGGGAAGGCTGAGCTGTGTCCGCGCACGAACCTTCCCGAAACCCTCGGAGGGGAAAGCGGCCGGTGGTGGGGTCTCCTCCCTCGCGGCTCGGGATTCCACCCACGGAACCGCCGCGCGCTCCGTTCGGCTGCTGGGAGGCCAAAGCGGCTGGCGCGCTGCGGCGGCGCGGCCCCTGCTCCCCCGCGGGCAAGCGGGCTTCGTGCTGGAGCAGGCTGGGCGCCGCGAGCGAGAGGGATGCGACGTCGGCCGCCTCCGGAGCTCGCGGGCCGGCTCACCGGAGCCACAGTTTGGGCTCCCTCCCTGCGCTGCTGCGACGAGGCCGCCCCAAACGCCACGCCGCCCTTTCCGACCCAGGAGCGGCCGGAAGAGGCAGCGCAGCCGCCCCGTGTCGACGCAGGAGCGAGCTGTCCCGGCTGCAGCGGCTCTCCTCCCCGGGGAGAGCGCGGAGTGGCAGCCCTGAAATACGGCACGGCCCAGGGACACCGGAGCGTCAAACGGGCGTCCAGGATCTGACGCGGGCGAACGCGTGCCCTGGTCTGATCGGCGCGGATCTTCGGCAGGAGCGGAGGCAGCAGCGCTCCGCCCGGGAGGTTCTGCGCAGGGCCGCCGCCATGGGAGCGCCAGCGCTGCCAGGCGCGAGCCGAGGAGCTGAACCCGCGGCTGACGCCCAGCCCACGAGGGCCCGAGGCCGCACCACCCCGCCGCCTCTCCGCGCTCGGGAGGAGGCCTCGCCGAGCTCGACGGGGCGGCTCTCCCGGGGTCGCCGGCAGCTTTCAGCGGGGCGGACCGAAAGATCCACCTGCGCTCGGCCGCGGAACTCCGAGGGCGGTTGCGGACTGGGAAGGAAGCGGGGGGCGGGCGGGGCGCCCTTAATTCGGGGAAAGGGAAGCAAAGGCGGAGCTCACGCGCCCCTCGGGCACGCACTACGGCGCCTCGTTGTTGCCGAGATCCAAGCAAGAAGAGAATGCATCCCAGAGTCACTCTGGATCCACGCTCTGAAACACCCAGGCCAGGAGGGAGTCCAGGCCTTCCAAAGACAGGACTGTAAAATCTTTTTCTCAAATATTCGCTCGCTCGCTCGTTCTTTTGTTTGTTTTAAATGAGGGACGCAGCATATTTTTCTGGGGTGAGGCCCAGATGGATGCCCAAAGGCATCTCCGCGCCGGCGGGGCGGGCGCGCTTTGAGCGCTCACCAGGCGCTGATGGCGGGCCGCTTGGTCAGAGCCGCCGCGCAGCCGGCGGGGGGGGGCGCGGGCGGGACCGGGGCGCCGGTGGGCCTGCCGAGAAGGACGCCGCCCGCCCGCCAGTCCCTCCGCGCCGAGCAGGGGCGCCTCAGCCGCGCCACGCGCGACTGCGGGGCCAGGTCGACCCGAGGCGCGGGGCCTCTGTGCGGCTCGGGCTTTCCCGGCGCCTTCGGACGCCGTCGGCGGAGACGTGGGAAAGGCGGCGCTGCTGGGCGTCTTGGCGAGGAGCTGGCGGGGCCGCGAGAGCCCCGGCAGCCCGTGGCGCTCCGTAAATCCGCGGTTAGGATGAGCTCGTGTCCGGCCCGGAGTCGCTCCGGAGTCAGCCTGTGGCCACAAAGCGGCCGAGCCCGGGGCACCCCAAGGCCGACGCCCTCGTCCGGCGGGCATCGGCTTCGCGGGGGCGCTCCCCTTCCCGATGCGCCTGCCATTCCCTTCGCTCTGGAGCTGCGCCTCGCGTCACCACCTGCACCGGCCGGGCAGCCAGGAGTTGCCAGGGCGGGCCGGCAGCCCGTGGCTCCCCTTCCACCGGCTGCGCTGGGGCGGGTGGTGTGCAGGCGGAGGCCGAGCAGGTGGGTTTCCGGGGTCCCGAGTGGCCCCAGAGCCGCCCCCGCCCCCGCCTTGCCTCCTGCTCTTCTCAGCATGGCAGACTGAAGATGCACGTGTGAACATGCATTTGCCCGGGACAGGCGCACTGGTTCCAACACTCGTCCAGTTCCGGAGGTGGCCTGCAGACTTTGGGTAGCTGCTCCACTTTGAAGGGGCCCGCCTGGGTCGGCCCCTTTCCCGGGGGGGCTCAGCGTGCAGCCAGACAGCCGCCCAAGGCTCCGCCCGCTGAGGGGGCCCACTGGCTGCAGGCCACATCCTGTGGGCGTCCGCATTCGCACAGTATTGCTGGGTGCAGCAGGCCTCCGTCCGTGGGGGTCGCGCAGCCTTCCAAGTGGGGCTTCTGTTGCCTCCGTGTTGGTGGAGGGGGCCGAGGGGGGTAGAGGGGCTGAGCGTCAGGGCTCGCTTCAAGCCAAGGGGAGCTGGCGGCCACGAGCGGAGCAGGGGACCTGCCTTCCAGCCCGAGAGCGGGGGCAGGGGGGCTCAGTGGCGCAGGGTCTGGCCCTCCTGCTGGTCCTGAGTCCCGGCCTTCCTCTCCCACCACCTCGCGCAGTTCCCTACAAGTTCTTCTCGGACCCCTCCACCATCAATGAGAAAAGGAAGCAGCGCAGGATCCGGACAACGTTCACCAGCTCCCAGCTGAAGGAACTGGAGAGAGTCTTTGCAGAGACCCACTACCCCGACATCTACACCAGGGAAGAGCTGGCCCTCAAAATCGACCTCACTGAAGCCAGGGTGCAGGTAAGCGGCTCCCCGGTGCCGGCCCACCTGCGGGCCTCCCGCTGCACGCCTGGCACCTGGCCGGCCACAGGCCAGGGCCCTTCTGTCCCGCCTCCCGGTTGCTCGTGGCCTCCTGCGGCTCTCCCTGGCCCCGGGCACAGGAGGAGGCCATCTCCCACGCAAGAGGGCCCTGCGCCCCACCCGAAGCCCTTCCAGCCCAGGAGAGCCCTTGTGGGCCGCAGCGGTGCACCTCCCGGGCTGCTGGGAGCCGTCCCCCCTGGCCCTTCCTGGGGAAGCCAGCGGGACGGAGCTCTGCTGGGAACGATGGGCCTGCCCCAAGGGCTGGCTGCACCCCGATTGTGGCCCCACGCTGCCCACACTGCCAAGCCCGCGGCCAGGCTCAGGGCAGTGCCAGAGCACCCGACATGCAGGCGGCTACCTGTTCGGTCCCTGTGAATTGTTCTTATTTATTTATATCCTCCTCCTCTCCATTTGCCTAATCTTCCTCCCGCCTGGGGGGTAGGATAGCTGACAGCCAGGGACTGGCTCCCGTTACTCAGGGAGCTTCATGGCCGAGAGGGGCTAACCCTAGCCCAGTGCTCCAACCATTGAGCAACACTGCCCCAGTCAAACACAGGTCTTGGGGCAGTGGACAGGAAGGCCCCCTTCTCCCTCTGGCCTAGAGAAGCCCTGCCTGTTTGCACAGAAAGCACCAGGCCAGGGGACCCCGCACACGCGCACTCACCCGCACACTCTCTGCCGTGGCACGGTGGATTGCAGTGTGCACACACGTGGGTGCAAATGCGTTTCCCGGCCCCACCGGGGCGTGTCCAGCCGAGTGGCAGCCAGTGCGTGGAAGGCGTGGACGCCCCCCAGTCACCCCAGGAGCCAGACCTGCCCTGCCGTTGCTCCGGCGCTTAGCAGGGTGGTGCCTCTCGGAATGGGCTGGAGCCCTGCGGCCGGGGGAGCCCAGGACAACTTTTCCTGCCCCAACGTGAAGCACGGTCGCTCCCTTTGGAACACCTCGTGCTCGGCCAAAGGGGCTTCGCCTCCGGTTCTCCCAAGACCTGGTTTTCTGTGTGCGGGGATCTGGGGGGGCACGATCTGGAGCTGCGTTCCCTTTTAGCACCCCAGAGCAGCAGTCGGAGACCCCGCGTGCGTTGATCAGTGCCTTCAGGACTAGCCTTCTGCATAGCCCTTTGGCCCTACACCAGTCACAGCTGTGCAGGCCGATGCAAAGGTGTTAGCTAACTGAAACCATGAACTTACTTCTACTCATCATGTGCAAACCAGTCTGGGTGGCAGGCAGAAAAATGCTCCGAGGAAGAAGGGATGTACTATTAGGTGCCCCGGGGCAGAAAAGGGTTCCACAAGGCCCAGCATGCCTTTGGCAGCACAGGGGCCTGGCCCCCGGGGGGCTGGTGGGGGGGGCGGCCCCTTCGCAGCCAAAAGAGCACTTCTTGGAGTCACCCTTAGCCTCGGTCCATTTAGAATCCTCCTTAAATTCACATGGACTATTTAAGAAGTAAATTCACATGGACTATTCACATGCAAACGCTCCGGTAAAACTACATTTCTCCCATGTCAATTGCAAAGGCGGCTAGGCTATATTTTTTCTTCTAAAAGGGGGGATTTTTTCTTCTAAAAATGCCCAAGAGGGAATTTGCTAAAGGTGGCTCCTCTTCAGGCCACCTTTGAAGCCCTTCTCACAAGTCCCTCACAACTGTCATGGAGCAAGGATAAGGCACCCTGCAAGAGCAGAGCACCTGCCCCAGGGAATTCCAGGGGAGCAGAGGGAGGCCCCAAAGGATGGGAAGGCGATGCAGGCCGCACCGAGCTGGCCAAGAGCTGGCTGTGCCGGCCGATGGGCTCTTTCTGCCAAAAAAGCCAGCAAGGCAGTGCAGGAGAGAGCGAAAATAAAACAATAAAACCATCACGAAAAGCAACAACTCCCCTTCATAAAAGCACAGAAGCAGTAAAACCGTGGGCCGCTGCACCACGTCCACACGGTCGGCTCCGAGAGACGGGTCTTGTTTCCTGACAGCCAAGGGCAGGCCAGCCAGTCCCGCTGGGGGGGGGGGGGGGGCATTGCAAGAGCTGGCTGGGGAGGCAAACAGGCCTGCCCCGCAGGAAGGCGAGCGCCACCCCCGGCTCGGCTCGGGCTGGCCGGGTGGGCCCCAGCCAGCAGCGGTCACGGGGCTGTGCCAGCCCCCGCCCCCGCCCCTGCAGCGGCCAGCTCTGCTCACTCACGCGGCTCTCCTCTGGCCCAGGTCTGGTTCCAGAACCGCCGAGCCAAGTTCCGCAAGCAGGAGCGAGCCGCCAACGCCAAGGGGCAGACCGGCGGCAACGGCGGCGCCCCGGCCGGCAAGAAGCCCGACCCCCGCTCCTCCTCGGAAGACGACGAATCCAAGGAGTCCACCTGCAGCCCGACCCCCGACAGCACCGCCTCTCTGCCCGCAGCCGGCAGCCTGAACAGTCCGGGCAGCAGCCTGAGCCCCAGTCCCGGCACAGGGCAGCAAGGCATGGGGCCGGGCCACTCTGCCCAGGCCCTCAAGCCCCCGCTGTGGGCGGGGGTGACCACCAGCAACGGGGCCACCAACACGGCCGACCTGCTGAAGGCCTGGCAGCCGGCCGAGGCGATGCCGGGACCGTTCTCCGGCGTCCTTTCCTCCTTCCACCGGAAGCCCAACCCCCTCAAGGCCAACCTGTTCTAACTGGCTCCGCCGAGCCCACCGACATCGCCGCTCCACTGGGTGTCCCGAATAGTCCCCTTCCGTAGCTGCTAGTTTCTGCATTGCCGGCGCCGGGCCTTCCGAAGGCAGGCGCTGACGCCACAACTCCAGTCTTAAGGGAACGACAGCCATGCTCTCCGTTCCGTGTGCAGTGCGGTCCCAGCACCAGGCCGAATCGAGCCGCGTAGAACTGAGTGCCGAACGCGGCTCTCCCCCCAGAAGCTGACAGAGACTGCCTTGGAGGGCCCCCGGAAGGCGAGGCCCCAGCGCACCGCCCCACGCCAGTCCGCAGCGAGAGGAAGCTCCTTGCACACGGTTCTTAGCGAGGCCTCTGCCAGGCGGCCTGTGAGGAGCCGGACCGGCCTCACGAGTGACTTCGCATCTCCCTTGATTGCTGGCTGAGGAGGGAAGACCAGAAGGCCGCGCGGTCCGGCATTGTCTCGGCATCCCGCCCGTGTGCAGGCGTGGCGTCTCGCCGAGGACCTCGCTTGGCTCCCGTGCGTCTAGAGGAAGGGAGAAGGACGGACTCCCAAGGGGCTGGCGAACACTGCGGGGGAATTCCTTGGCATTCCAAGTGGGAACGGGTGGCCATGGAGAACGTGCCGGAAGGGTTTCTGTGGCGGATGGAGAGTCCAGTAGGAAACAGCCACTGGGGCAGATGCTACTTCCACCTCACGATCCCAGCAGGAGAACTGGACTGGAGGTGAGGGACTCTGGAGTGGGTGGGGGCCTGTACCTGGAGGCGTGAGATGCTTGATTGTCACCATCAACTGGGGGGGGGGGCTCTTCTGTCTGTTCCAGAAGTTCTGCTTGTCCATTTCCCTCTCATAGTGGCTTTGAGGCTTCCGTTTGCCTTACGGACATCCGGCTGCCGTTCGTGGCTGCAGTCCGGCCATCACTCCCCGCGGCCGGAGACGGAGGGAGGCGCCATGGCCGAGGCTTCCCTTTGCACCGCTGGCCGGCGCCTTCTGGGCCCGAAGCGAGAGGGCCGCTTTGCAACCTTCCCCCTCGGTCCTGGGGTCTCCAGGGGAGGGTGGGAGGCGGGGTCCATTTGAGCGCGGGCTGCTGGACTAGGAGAAGCGCTGTGGCCACAGGGAGGCTGTTTCTCGTCACTGCCGGAAACCCCCACGGAAGGGAGACCCTCAGAGCCCGGGAGCAGAAACAGCAGGAGCCCTTTCTGTGGCCACTTCACACGCCTCCTCGGTAGAGTGCAGAGAGGGAAGCCGCGGGACTCTCAGAGAGAGAGGCTCCATGGCTGCCTGCTCCCTCCCCCCTCGGGGCCACGTGCAGGCACCACTCAGTCCCACGTGCCCAAAGCCATCCCTGCCTCGGCGGGACTCTGCGCTCGGCCCCACAGTCCTGTCCTGGCGACACCGCTGCGCGCACAGCCTTCGCAGCACTGGGAGAGGCGGCAGCCAGCACTTGGCCCGCAGGTATCTAGGCGCAGGCACCCTCTCGGTACAGCCACGAGGATCCTGTGGCAGCGCCACGGAGAAAGGTCACCTGACCCGACACGGGGCATCAAAGCCGGGCTCAGTCAGTTGGCCGGGGGGGGCCAGCCCAGGAACAAAGCCTCGTCCATGGATTCGTGGCAGCGGCTGGACTTGCCGGTATCTCAAAATGCGCAGCCCTCCGTGGACATGTCTTGGTCCCAGCAAGGCAGCTGGAGAGCTGGGGAGGCCCAGGCTGCCAGGGGGCGAATTCGCACCCCCCCGGCAAGTAGGGGCCACGGATTTGGCAGTGGGGGAAGCGGGCCCATCCTCCACCTTGGCACAGGGACTCACCGGCCCAGATCAGCCTAGTCCAGACTTCCCCGGCCCAGTACCAGTGGCCACACTGTCTGGGGGAAGGGGAGGTGTGGTTCGCACATATAGGAAGGAGCCCCGGACTGCCGGACTCAGGAAACGCACCGTTGCCACCCCTTCCGAGGAAGCAGCCGAGGCCCGGGGCTGGCTGGATGCCAGGTGGTGTCTTGGAGGATCGGGCCCCTCCGCTCTTCCTCGCCCCTGGACCAGGCAGTCGCCACGGCGAGCTGCTCGCTGGCGGGTCCGCGCGGCCTGGAACACCCCCGCCCGACACAGCGCTGGCGCCCGGCAGCAGCGGCCGTGCCGGCGCGCAAGGGACGCGCGCAGAGCGGCTGGCTGCGTGCGCTTGGACCGCGCTGGCTGCGCGGGGAGCCAGGCCGAGCCGCTGCAGCAGCGGCCTCCCAGCCCGCGCCCCGCCGCGGCCGCCCAGCCTCAGCAGCTGCCCGCGCAGGCGGAGGCTCGGGAGGCCGGCCTGGCTGGCGGCGCCGCCCCGGCAGAGGGCCCCGGCAGGTGCGCGCCCGCCGCGGGCAGACGTGCGGGACGGGGCGCCCCCGGTCCGAGCGGGCCTTCTGCCCGCGGGCCAGGCCGGGAGGGGCCTCTCCTCGCGGACCATTCGCCCCCCGGATCCCGCCCCCCGAGCAGCGCCCCACGCGCGGCCGCCTCGGGCCCCCGGGCTGCGTGCCGGGCAGGAAGGGCCCGCTGGGGAGGCGCCCTCGCCGCCTCTGCGCAGCCCGCGCTCCCCGCAGCGGGATCGCCCGCCCAGGACCGGCCTGCCTTCTGCAGAGGCAACGGGCGCCCCGGCCCGCCCCAGCCTGGCCCTCCGGAGTGCTCGGAGGGGAGGGGAGGGGAGGGGAGGGGCTGGCGGACTCGCGGCCCGGCCCACCTCACAGGGCTGTTGTTCTGAGGGGGAGGAAGAAGGCGGGGCAGAAACGAGGGGCCGGCACGGCCACGGGGCCCGTCCCGCTCAGCGGATCTTGCGCGGAGACGCTCCCTCGGCGCCCCGCGCTGCTGCCGTGCTTCAGGGGCGGCATTCGAGGCAGATTTCCCAGCCTGGCGCCCGCCCAGTTGTGCCGCTAGCTGGGATGATGGGACGCGAAGTCCAAGACGCACCAGGACGTGAAGGCAGAGCGCCCCGTTGCGAAGGGCGACTCAGAGCCCAGCTGAACTCCAGTGCACGTGGAAGGAGCGCGTCTGCACCAGAGGCAGTGGCAAGGCTGGCGCCCAGGCGACGTGCGAATGATGCACTCGAGTTTTCACTGGGACAAAGGGCAGAAGGTGAGGGTCGGGGAAAGGTGGTTGGACCCCCCCCGCCCCGCCAGCCACTCCCGGCTGTCCCGACTCGGACATCTTTCGGCCCGGTTTGCAACGGGGGACCTGTGGCCAGAAGCCATGCACGTGTCCAGCTTGCAGGTCTGAACCGATGGGGAAAGGGGGCTGCCCCAGAGAGAGTGAAACTGCCTTCCCCACGGGCAGGGGGTCAGACAAGGTGTAGAGAAGCCGGTCCCAACCCGGGGCCCCAGGGGAGCGAGAGCTCAGCCCCCAGCGCTCCAGCCAGCGAGGTCCGGGGCGCAGAGCGGAGGAGGCTGCGTCCGAAGCGGCACACGCCCCTCTTCCTCTCCCCACTTCGTTCGCACGGCCGCCCCACGAGGGAGGCGAGTCTGAGTCTGGGGCACACTGGACCGCCCAGCCCCACAGCCCAGCGGGGACGAGGGCCGGCGTCTCTGGCATCCCCGTCCAGGCCTCTGACCACTGCGCCGCCTCGCTTCTCACGGTGGGGTGAGGCTCGGGGAGGCCGTTTCTCCATCCAAGCTCCGGGAAATCGCAGGGGCGCACCCCCCCCCGCCGACCACTCCAGCGGAATGGACGCCGTCCGGGGGCTTCTGCCCCACACCCCGATGCTCGGAGCTTGTGTCCGCATCGAGTAGGAACCAGCACCCCCGAGTCGGGTCAGAACTCTGCCTTGAATCCGCGGGCAGACGTTGGTACGGCATGTCCTGGCTGGGAGCTCAGGCACCTGCCGACGGGCTCACACCCGTGCGGGAGATGCACCCCACACCCGCATTCAACCCCGCACCCCACATCCTGGCAGGGCTTCCGGAAGGGCAGCTCACACCTAGTCCCGAGCACCAGTGAACAGCGAGCCGAGTGGGAAGATGCTGGGACACACTCCGGCAATGCTGCGCTCGGTGGCCCTGGGCAGGCTCGGCTTCGGGGCTCCTCTGATGCAGCCCCAGCTGCAGAATCCCCCCCCCCCAAAAGCCCCAAAAACCCTCCCCCCCCCCCCCCTCCAGCGAGGTGCCCCCCCCCCCCCCCCCCCCGAGTGGCCCTGGATTGGGCCCACTGCTCGCTTTGCTGCCTTTCAAGTCCCCACAGCAGAAGCGGGAGTCGACTGCAGCCTACCCTAACCCGATCCCTGCCAGATGTTGGACTACAGCTCCCATAGTCCCCCAACCTGGAGAGGGCAATGTGGTACCAGCTGTAATCTAGCAGGTGCTGGTAGTGCGGAGGCCGAGATCAGGGTGTCAGGCCAAAACAGCCCAAGTGGACCCTCGGCCCCTGACGCGGCTGCAATCCTGCGGCAGCTTCTGTCCGGAGGGTCCTGCCTGGGCCGAGATGATCGCGCCCGAAGTCCGAGATTCCGCCAAGACGCAACTCCGCTGCCACCCCGGTCAGCAAAGCAGCCTGTTTGGGTGCCACAGGACTATTCGGGATTGTTTTGCTTGGAGTTTTGTTTCATTTTTTAAAAACTGTTCTGCAATTTATTGAACTGTTTGCAATTTATTTGCAAAATATGCTACCCAAATAAACTTAATTTATTGAAGAACTCTTGGCGCGCTCAGCTGAGGCAGCCCTGGGAAGGGTGGGAAGTTGGGGGGCTTACAAGCTCAGGCGGTATAAACACATTGCAGGCAGACTGCTGGGTGGGTAGGAACCCCCCCCCCAATAACTCTGGCTCCTGCAGTTCATCCTAAGGTAGATTAAATGGGGGGGGGGGTTCAGAGCACATCCGTGCCTGACCAGCGCAAACGTTTCGGGTTCTGAGTCGTGGGCTTGCCTTGTCACGAGGGGGGTTCCTAGAAAGGCTGGCGAGACACTGAGGGCCAGTTGCAAAGCGCATTTTCCACAGGGCGAACCGGTGAGATTAAAAGAGCCAAAAACGGGAGGGGAGAACCTCGTGATGATGCGGGGGGGGGGGCAGAGCCACGGAACAACCCACCCTTCTTCCAAACACCTCTTCGCAGCAGGCCTGCCCCCCAAGGAGCAGCCAGGGGGTCCGGGAGAGGCCAAGCGAGGTCCGTTCGGGATGCGGAGGATGATGGCCACTCGGCGGCGTGGAGAGCCACGAATCAGGCATGCGAGATGCGCAGCCTGGGAAGGAGGCCATTTTGGGAGGCGCCCACTGCTGCCTCGCTGCTCCCAAGGATCAGCACCCGGTTACTTGAGAGAAGGCCCATAATAAGCAAGAGGCATCCGTCAGCAAACAAGCCCTTTTATTGCATCGCAATGTGGTAAACTAAGGTGTGAAATGTGGGCATTTGGGGAGCGGGAAATGAACAACAGCAAGTCCCTGCCACAGCCTAGAAATATTAAGCATAAAAAGAGCTTCAAATAACAATTAAATTAAACATTAAAAAATCCACACAGACGTCGGTATAAAATGCACCACAGTAGAATTTAGTAGGGTTAAATGCACACCAAATGGATTAATGATAACTGAAGAGAAAACAGGACGAAATGGATGCAGGCACATCCGCAGCTCCTCCGCAGGAGCAGCAGAACAACAGAAAAGGCGATTTCCTTCATTCCGTTTTGGGGATTCCTCGCCGTTGAGGTCTCCGGCGACCCCAAGCAGGTGGGGGAGCTCACCCGCACCCCACCCTCCTGCAACCCTCGTATGATAAAGTAAGGCACTGGGTGATTTCCCGAAGGCAAGGGCGGAGGGCCGGGCTGGGGGCGGGCTGCCCCCCGGCGCCCGCCCTCCTGCAGTCACGAGCCAGGTCCCTGCCCCGAGGCAAGTGAGCGCATTTGGCCGGCACCTTGATTTGCGGTGAAATGGGGGGCTTCCCCACACCAGGGGAAACGGCGAGCAAGCGGGCGAAGGCAGTGGGGGCCCCTCCTTGTGGGGGGCACGTGGCTCTGGCAGGACCGGGGGCCACGCTCCTTCCAGTCTCACGAGAGGAAACCGGGACCCCGTGGGGAGAGGGCAAGGACAGGACTTGGGGGCTGAACTCGCCACCGCAGCATGCCACTCCTGAGCAGAGCCCCCCCATGCACCGGGCAGGCCCCAACCTGGCCCCCAGCCACGCCTCTTGTGGCCCCCTGGCGGATGGGGGGCACTCACCTTGGGGACCCCCAACAAGGCAGATTCAGCTCAGAAGCGCCCAAGGGCAGGGGAAGCAGAAACAAAGGGAAGACGAGGGTCCTTCTATTGTCGTGAATAAATAAGAATAACTTAGTGGGGCTGCTGGGGGGGCAGCCGCGCTTCTGAAATGCTTCGCGGGGGGGCTCCCATGCCCGATCCACCTCCCCTCCCGGCCGCCGAGATCCGAGTCCCCCAGGAGCGAGAGGGAAGCCAGGCGCCCCCCGAGCCAGCCCTCGCACAAGGCCCGGGCCGCCCACGGTGTGCCTGGGCTCAGCCAGCTCCTCCCCTCGGGGGGAGGCATCCTTCAGGGCCTCCTCCGCAGGCAGTCCTATATCCTGCAGGGCAGCGTGGGGGGCAGGGGGCGAGCCAGCAGGGGGGAGATGCTTCCGGGCTACTTCCCGCGCCTCAGGTTCTCCAGCAGGAGCCGCTTGTGGTTGGGGTCCAGCACGCCGGCCTCCTCCAAGTCCTCATCCGTGATGTCACTGCAAACAAGAGGAGGAGGAGCTGCAGCGCCTGTGACCACTAGACTCCGCTGCCCTCCTCCCTCCGAGGGAAGTTCCGGCTCCGCCTCGCAGGGTTCACGGCTCGAAGGCCTCTCGGGGCCTCCCCGATCGCTTCACCAGGAGCCCTTGCTGGCTCCCCACACAGGGGGCCTCGGCTGGCTGCCAGCCGGCATCTCCAGGGAATGCTGGAGCGACTTGCTGGAACCCGAGCCGCCTGCCAGCCCAGAGGAGGCGAACGGCGGCCTGCTGCCGGCCAGGCGTCCGGCCCACATTTCTGCCCATGGCGGCGGGGGCAGCTCTGGACTAGGGGGCACGTGCTCCCCACTCCGGGTGCCGACAGCACTGGGGCCAGAGCAGAAGGGCTGGGCTTCCGCAGGGGCCGCCTCCATGCTCGAGGAGCCCCCCCCCCCGGAGAGCCCCATGCCCAGCCTGCGGCCCCCAGGCCAGAGTCGCTGCCACTGGCCCCTCCAGCCTGCACTCAGACTGGGAAGACAGAGGCGGCGAGGGAGGGGGTGGCAGAGCCGGAAGCGGGTGTGGGGAAGCCGCGGGGCAGGGCTGCAGCCCCCTGCCCGCAGAAGAGCCTGCAGCCCGCGAGGGGTGGGGGGAGCCCAGAGACCCTTCCCTGCAGCTGGCTGTGACGGCACGGGGTGAGCGGCTCCGTCCTCCGCCAGCTCAGCTCGGGCAGCCCAGCCCCTCGCCCCCCGCGAGACCCACCTGAGAAACTCCAGGTCGTCCCAGCCGTTGTGGATCAGCCCCTCCTCGTATCTCTCCATGCCGATGGCCCTCAGCCACTCCCCCACGCCAGACTCGCCGCGCCGGGCGAGGCTCCCGCCATCCTGGCCCAGGGTCTGCAGGGAGATGGCAGGTGGGGGGGGGGCTGAGGGCGCACCTAGGCGCCCGCGAGACCGCCTGGCCCCCGCCCGGGACGGAGGGGAGGCTGCTGCCAGGAGCGCGGCTCCTCTGTGGGGCTGCGGGACCGACTGGCCGCTGGGGCAGCCCTCCAGGCAGAGCGTGGGGGGGAACCTGGAGCCCCCCCCCGCCGCGCACGTCCAGGCAGACGGGCGTTGCACAGGGGCGGCCTCGGCAGCCGCCCTGCTGCTGGGCCACCGGTCTGGCGATGCCAGAGGAGCCAAGCCAGACCCCGACCCCGGCCGTCTTGGTGTGGTGGGGGGGCGGCACCAGCCGGTGCCCCCCCCCCCACCGGCCTGCTCTGCCTCTGCAGGATGGGGCGAGGTGCCCAAGCACAGGCGGCCCAGCACCCTGTCTCCAGGGAGGGAGCTGGTTTCCCCGGCAGGCCGGGGGGGCACGGGGGCAGCAGCCCTCTGCCATGGCTCTGCCGTGGCACCGGCCTTCCAGGGAGGGGATCCCCCCTCCTGTCTGAGGGACGCAAGCACCTGCTGGCTCCCCCTTTTCCCCATGGCACTGAGTTGTTGTGGGGAAAGGCGCTTCCTGCTGCATGGAGGGGGGGAGATTCCTGGGGGAATCATGGGTGGGGAGGGAAAAGCCACCTCTCCCCAGCCTGTGCCCCGTGAAGCCCCCTCAGATGACAGTGAAACGCAGGGAAAAAGCCCCCCTTCTGGCCAGTGAAGGACGGGACCCAGACTCTTTCTGGAGTTCTGCCTCGGGACGCCCCACAAGGAGGCCTCCTTCATGCAGCTATCGAAGGGCCGGGGCTCCCACGCTTCCCAGGCTGTGGAAGGAGGTGGCCGTTCTGCTCGGCGAGTAAAGAGCGCGGCGAACAGCGATCGGTGCCCATCTGAAGCGCCTCTGCTGTTCGCTGCCCGTTTCTGCCCTCCCCAGATATTCCCCCATTTCCCCTGTGCTCCCCTCCCCACTCGAAACAGGGAAGAGGATTCGCGGGACTGGGGTGGCCCGAGGGGTGCAGGTGGCAAAGCCTCCCCCGGAGGGCAGAACGGGGCGCCCCCCCGCCCCCCCAAAGGGCTCGTCTTGCCGCATCACCCACCTCCTCGGCCAAGTCTTCCTCGATGCTCTCGCGGATGGAGCGCGGGGGGAAGGCGATGGGGCGGCTGTAGTCGGGGTGCATGCACCGGAGAGGGGGCAGCTCCCGCCTGCCTTTGGTCAGGGGGTGCGCCGGGGGCCGGCCTGGCTGCTCCCTGCCCAGGCCCAGCGTGCCGCCGCCGGAGGAGTCCACCTCACTGAGCGTCTTGGCCATCTGCAGCACGGAGCACGAACGGTCGTCCAGGTGGCCCACGGGAGCCTGCGGGGCGCCGGGGGGCTCCATTAGGAACCCCGGCCCCAGGGATGGGGGCAGCCTGGGGTGCAGCTTGGGGGGCTCGCCAAAGGGCCCCGCCGCCCGCGGCTTGCCAGGGCCCTGCTCGTCCCCCCGGACGGCCCCGGAGGTGTAGAAGGGGCTGTCCACCGCGTCGCGCTCCATGGACTTGGGCAGGGGAGGCGGTGGGAAATCCGGGGGCGGCAGAGTGAGGACCCCGGGCTCCTCCTCCTCCGAGCTCTCCTCGGCCCTGGAGGGGGGCGGCGGCGGCTGCTGGGGGCGCCGGAGCTCGGCCTGGACGGGAACGGTGATCTGCACTTTGTCCCTGGGGACGGGGGTCCTGGCCGCCGCGGCCGGGGGCAGCTCTGTTGCCAGCAGCTGGTGGGGGACGCCCTCCAGCACGTAGTAGGCCGGGTTGTTGAAGCTGTTCTGCAGAGGGGCTCCCTCGGGGTCCGCGGGGGGCGCGTCCAGCCTGGGCCTGCACAGGGCAGAAGGCAGGAACAGCTAAGCTGGCCGGGACGCTGCAAGCCGAGGAGGCGTGAGGGGCCCCCCAGACAGGCCCCGCCAGCCAGCCGGCTCTGCCCCGTGCTGCCCGTCCCCCCGAGTGGCTGGGAAGAGGGCCAGGCGGTCCCTCCAGAGAGGGAGGCGTGGCCAGGGCGCCCCCTCCCATGCGCCCCCTCCCGATGATGAGCGGGTGCAGCCCTCCGTGGGGGGAACTGCGGAAGGGCCCCATGCAAGGAATGCCAGCCACGCCTGCAGGGCTCTCCCCGCTCCCCCCCACAGCCTCAGAAGGGGGCAGGGTGACCATCCGGAGACTGAGAGGATTGGCAGGTGCAGGGTGACGTGGGGTCGGCTGCTGGGAGGCAGCGCGGCACAAGAAGCGAGCAGGAGGAAGGGACAAGGGAGCAGTCTGCCAACAGCAGGGACTAGAAGCTTGACGCAACTGCGAGCATTAGGTCTCCCGGAAAGGAGGGCCCTGACCTCCGCCCCAAAGAGGGACCTCAGCGGGGGAAGAGTGACGTGGCCTGAAGAGGGCAGCTGAGCAAAGTGGCCACGCCGGAGGCTGCTACCCGTCTCCGCGGCCGCCTGCCCGTTACCGCCGCAGCACAGAGAGCCGCTCCAGGCCTGTGCATCACTCACCTGCCCTGCCGGGCCTCGTCCTTGGAGGCGCTGCGGTGCGGAGCAGGCGGGCGGCTGGCCAAGAGCGCCCCGGGCTTCTCCGGCTCATCCGAGAGCTTTCCCATGGGACCGGCTGCCACCGCCGCGGCCTCCCCGGGGGAATGCTTTCTCGCGACAGACCTAGCGGAGAGGAAGAGGGTGCTGGAGGGCTGCGGAGCCGTTCGGCCCCCCAGGCCTGCGGGAGGCCGGCAGAATCGCGCGTCTGGTGGAGCTGAAGAAGGGCAGAGGAGCTGCTCCACTGCCCGCCTCACGTCAAGGGCGACAGGCCAGTGGTGACGTGGCCAGAGCCAAAGGGGGCGGGACGCCCCACCCCAGGCCCCTGGCAGGCTTCCCAGCTCCCGCAGTCTCACTTGGAGCAGTCCAGGTTGGTCCGCGTTGCTGGGGGGGGCAGCTTCCCCTTTGCAACCCCTGTCTCGTCCTTGTCAATGCTGATCCATTCTGCAGGAAGGGAAGACGGATGCCCATTCAGTGGGGCGAGAGGAGGTGGGGGGCACCTCCGGCAGTGACCCACGCGTGGCACAGGTGGGCACAGCACTGGCCCCTTCCTGCTGGGGGCCGAAGCCGGCGGCAGCCCATCTGGGGTCCCGGGCCCGGCCTCTTCCCGCGTGAGCCCTCCGTGACACCGTTTGACCCGTCTGAAAACATATGCCTATCTGGCCACAGCATGTGCTGCATTTCCCTGCTGGGGATGCTGGGAGCTGCATTCCAGCAGCCCTGAAAGCCGCTGGGATGGAAGGCTGCTGGTGCGACGGGCCGCCCCTTCGGTGCCCCTTGGAGAGAGCCGGCACCGCCCGCCCGCCCGCCCGCCGCTCACCGTACAGCCTCTCGCGGGTCCCCATCCGCTCCGCCGGGACCCGGACCTTCATGGAGCCACGGATGTTGCCCGTCTCTTCGCCGCGGTGCGACAGGTAGGTGAGGAACTGCTGCGCGGTGCTGCCAATCATGGACTTGAGCGCAATGACGCACTCGCCTGCGGGGGAGGCAGGCGCACCGCGGGGTGAGGGACCGGCGCCGGGGGGCCAGCCGCTTTCCCCGGCCACTGCCCTCAGCCTGAGGCAGGTGGCCGGGGACATCTGGGCCGGGCCACGGTGATCCTCCCCACCCTGCGCAGCTCTGGCGCCGACGGCCACGTCCTGCTCGCTCACCCCGGCCTCCCGCGAGGCTTCCCTGCTCCTTCAGTCTCCGTCTGCCCCTCGAGGGGCGTCAAAGGGATGCAGCGCTGCCCTCTTGGGCAGGACGGGCTGCTCCTCAACCAGAGGGCTGGCTGCCCACCCCGGTTCCGCGGCTCGGCCCTTCGACACCCTTCACTCGCACGTGGACGGAACAACAACGCCACCCGGAAGCAGGTGCCCCCAGCTCCCTTCGCTCTCCGCCACGTGCGCCTCGCCAGCCCCGGCCAATGAGTCTGGCCACGTACCATAGGATTCGTAGCCATCCAAGGATTTGACCGTCAGGAGAAGGTGCTGGTCCTGCAGGTACTCGATGTCGGACAGGATGGGCTTCAGCTGCCAGCGGAGGAAGCAAAGGAGACGCACGTTGGGAGCACCTCTTCTTTTCGGCCAGACTGAGAGGAGGCCTTTCAATTTTGGGCCTCTATTGTAACGTCACCAAAAGCCACGTCCCCACATGCCGGCTCCACAGGGAGAATATCTGCTTCCTTCGGAGTTCTGGGTCTCCCCTGTGGGGGCCTCGCACGACCCCTTTCCCAAAGGCTGGGTGGGGCACAGCAAAGGACAGGGCCTCCTCTGGGGAGGCCCCTAACCAGGCAGCCTGGGCACGGACTAAATGCCACGTCGCATGGGGAAACGGAGGGCGGCAGAGAAGAAGTGCCCCTCACCGTGGGCAGCTGCCTGGACGACCACTGAACCTTCAAGAAGTTGATGTTGTCGCTGCTCTGCGAATCGTTCTCAAAGCTCTTCTTGAATTCTGAGAGTGGAAAGCGGAGAGGAAAGAGGAAGTCAGGGCGGCACGACCCGGGCGGGGGCCACACACGGGCCCTACTTCCGAGCCAGCCCGCCTGCATCAGCCCTTCTTGGGAGACGAGGGCCAAAGCATCGGCACCCACCCCCCACGCGTCCCTTCCCTTCTCCCGGGGTTAATCTGCGGGGTGCGGGAGGCCCTCCCAGCCTGCCAGGGGCCCAGATCGGGCCCCCCAGGACAAGGCTGCCCAATGCAGATCTGACGGCGCACCCGCTCTGGCCTCAGCCTTCCCTCCTTCCAGGGTCGGGTGACGTGCCGGGAACAAGGCCGACCCCTTGCCGGAGCACACCTCTTTTGGGGAAGGCCTCACCTGCACGGGGGTCCCGGGGACCCCCAGCCCTGGCAGAGGGAGCCCTTCTGTGGCCGCTCAGGGCAGCTCTATGGGTCAGGCTATGGGCTGCCTTGACAGGGGGCCAGATTTCTTTTCATGCCAAAGTGCACGTGCCTTCTATTTGGATCAGGACCAGCACCAGGAAGGGGGAACTGAACTCTTGCCTCTCTCTTATAAAGTGTGCACAAACACACGCCTTTTTTCGGCTTTTCTTTTAATAAAACTGCCATTATGAAAACAGTTTACAAAAGGAAGGAGGGAAGTTTGGACGGAAAGAAGGAAACTAATATCCATGGAGACCAACGGAGGCTTTCCCTTTCTTTTTTAAACCTCCAAACAGCACGTTTGCGGGGCAATCGCCCTTGCAGGAGCTCAGGGGTTCCACGCGAGGCCCGAACTAGGCGCACCTGCTCCAGAGCGGGGAGGAAAACAGGCCTCGGAGCGCCAGCACCAGCGCCCACTACCTGGGTTTCACCCTCACCAGACCAGGGCGCTACGGAAGAGAAACGCCATTCCGGGAGGGGGCACCTTTCGGCAAACATCGCCCAAGAGGACCCGCCTGAGACGGAGAAAAGCCCCGCAGCTCCGGCCGGCCAGGGACTGCGCCCGAGGGCGCTCGCACTGCTCCGAATTGGGCCGGTGTGATCATTTTGAGCAGCCTTCTAGGATGCTGATTAGGAAAGGGACGCTGAATCGAAGAACCGACAGCGGGGCCGGACGAGGGGTCCCTCCAGTCTGTCAGCACTGCTGGGGGGCGGGGGGGACACGGTCCGCTCCTCGCAGACGTACCTTCGAGGCACGTAGAGTAGAACTCGATGAAGAACTTGGTCCGGCTGGCCGTCTTCACGATGGCCTCCACGCTCTCGAACTCGATGCAGGCCTGCTCCGAAGACTTCGACAGGCCTAGTGGCGATGGAGGAGGGCGGGTTACATGGGCCGGGCTGGCGAGCGCTGGGGGCGGCCACGTGTCTCCTAGGCCCCCCGAGTGGCACCGCAGCCGCCGCAAACCCCATCCCCACCGCAGCTGGAGCCGCCCGCGTGCTCCTGGGGAGCAGCCCTGGGCCGAGACCACAGGGCAGGAGTACCCAGCTCTTTGAGGGGTGGGAAGGAGGAGCTGCGAGGGGTGGCGCTCTCGCCTTCCACCGCCGGATCCCGCCCTGGAGGCCCCTTGCGCAGGGGCCGTGGGATAACCTTACGGGGGCCTGGAGGGGGGTTACGCTCAGCTCCGGGGCAGGTTCCCCCAGACCAAGGAAACCGCGGCTGCAGGCAGCTCGTGGGGCAACGCTAAACAGACACAGGTGGTGAAGAGGCGCTGCCCGTGCTGTGGTGTAGTACAGCCCCCTCCAGGTTTGGCTGTACCGCCTCACAGGCAGCCAGGCCAAAGGATGGCACCCAAGGTTGTGCCCCGATCCCATCCACCTGCACGAAGCTCCGGCAGCGAGGGGGGAGCTTTCTGCTGGGGGCTGGGGAGGACCCTCTGCCGAGGAGACGTGGGGGACGCTGAAGGGACGTGCCCCGCGCCCCTGCTCTGCCCCCCCTGCCCTCATGCCCTGCACCTTTCTTGGAAACGAACTGGGAAGTGACTCCAACTTCGAAGGCCGCGAAGACGGGCGAGTGGTCGCTGCTGACGATGTCGTCCGTGCACCCTGCAGAGCAAGAGGCGAGCGCTGCGGCGGGACGGGGGCCGGTGGGCCGGCAGCGGCCTGGACTCGCTGCCCCCCCGCCGCCACCAGAAGCAGCCCAGGGGGGAGGGGATGCCCGAGCAGAAGGGAATGGGGATCCCCACACTTCGGGATGCGGGGGGAGCGGGTGGGCCGGCCGTGCTATTTGCCAGTCGCGGCCACATCCGGGGGGGGGGGGACGGGCCTCGCCCCCACTCACCGTAGGAGCTGCTGGTGATGTGTGTCTCTGGGTAGGACTTCCAGAGGATCCGGTCGCACCACGAGGGGACGTTCGTCCGCACCTGGAGCAGGGGGGGGCCAGGTGAGACACCGCGCACCGCCCTGGCGCCCGTCCTTGCGTCGCCCGGAGCCCGAGTCCTTCCTGCCTGCGCTGCGGCCCCAGAGAGGCCTGGCCCTCAAAACAGGCTGCCGAGGCTCCGCCAGCCGCCGGCCTGAACACTCCTCTGCCACACGCCCCCTGTAGCCGCCCCCCGTCACTGCTCCCCTGCAGGACCGGCCGTGCCTGGATCCTGGCATAGTCCCCTCGTGGCAAACCAGGCAGGCACGCCTTCCCAGTGCGACAGTCCGTTGGGCAACTGTTCCACCCGACAGCGTCCAGGAAGGCCTGGGCCAAGTCGACACACCCTGGCCCAACCAGACGCACAAGACGTCCCATGAGGCAGCCAGAGGGAGGGGGGCTGTGGGCACAGGAAGCCCCGCTGTCCCCGCTTTGCGTTGGGAGCCTTTCCGAGGGGACACCTCCAATGGAGTGCCGCCTGGCAGCGACACGGAAGCGGGGCCTTCCTTGTGGTGGCACGTGCTCCCACGTGCGGTTCAAGAGGCAGGCATGACGCCAAGTTTAAACTGCCTGTTCGCACAGGCTTTCCTTGACTTGTAAGGGACGCCTGTCATTGTCCCGTTTCATTGCTTCGGCCGGTAAGCTCTTAAATACTTTATTACGCTGCCTGTTTAAAAATATTGCTTTGGTGCATTGGTAATGCCAGGTCCCTAGTGAACCTGGCCCATTTCGGACGCAGTCCCCCGCGTGCTTCGAAGGAAAGAAGCCCCGGGACCCCCCAAGTGCCCCTGGAGGCACGCTGGGGGGTGCGGGGGCTCTTCCGGCCCACGTGTGCAGAGGGCTGCACCTTCCGCTGGGCTAAAACGACGACCACGTGGCCTGCGCCAAGGTGGCTGGACTGCAGCCCGAAGGGGGCCTTGCCTGCCCAGCCCGGGCGGCAGCTGCCCTCCGTGGCAAAGCCCCCGCCTCGCCTCCGCGCAAGCCGCCCTCGTGGGCCCCGAGCACCTACCCCGGTCGGCTTCTGCTTGTGCCACACATAGGTGTCCCGGGAGCCCCTCTCGTAGCGGTACGTGGGGGGGAAGGTGATCTCCTCCTCGCCTGGAAAGGGAGAGGGGGAGGCACGGGCCGGGGAGGGCTGAGCTCGGCGAAATCCCGGCCCCGCCACAGGCCCCAGAGAGGCCCCCCGAGCCGGGACGGCCCGCCCGAGCCCCGGCTGCGGGGAGAAGGGGTGCCGGGGCACCGAGCGGCCCAGGCAGGGCCAGGACCCCCGCCCCCCGCTGCAAGCAGGTTCCTCTGCGCCGCTGGCTCTCGACCTCTGCAGCTCATGCCATGTGCAAGATTGGATTTGCACCGTTTTAGATCTACGCGAACCGCCCAGAGAGCTTGGCCACCGGGTTGTACAGGCAACAGCTGGGTGAAACGAAACACGGTTCTGACCCGGAGGAATCCCGTGGGCCGAGCGCCAAGGCATGCGCACGGGATGCTACTTCATGCGCAGCCTGTGCCTGCGATGCGCTGTTCGCGGGGGCAAGGTCCCTTGCTGCCATCGATGTCGGTGCCAGAGGCCTCCGCGGCCTTGCACCCCGTGTGGCGGTGGCGCGTTGTCGGCCCACCCCCCCGTCGCGTTCGTGTTTGCGTTGGGCCGGCTGCGGTGACCCCGCAGCTCTGAGGGCCGGGCGCCGGGACCCCTGCCCCTCGTGGGCTGGGGGGGAGGGGGAGCGCCGGGCCCGTTTGCCGTGCCGCGTGGGGCAGCCCAAGAAGCCACGGGCATCACGACGGAGAGCACCGCTGGCCCCAAACGGCGGGGGGAGGGGGCAGCCGGCACTGGAGGCCCCCCCTGCCCCGGCATGCGCGCCCACGGGGCGGGGGACTCACTGAATCGCAAGAAGATCTTGTGCTTCTCCTTCTCCAGGTTGAGCTGGTCCACCTTGAGCAGGGGCTCGAACTCCTTGCGGTTGATGTAGTTGAGGATTTCCTGGGGGCACAAGGCGCACATGACGGGGCCACGCTTTGGCGCAGAGCACGGAGCCTTCGCTTTGCAAGACCCACAGAGGAGGCCCCCCCTTCGCATTCCGCCGCCCCCTCACCTGAACGTCCATGTCCAGGCGGTAGTTGAGGTCCCCGAACCAGAACAGGTGCGTGAAGCGGAGCGAGATGTCGAAGGAGGCGAGCTGCTTGTCCCCCAGGGAGAGGAGGCGCAGGATGTCCAGGTAGTTCTGGTTCCTCCTGCGCATGGGGAGAGCGCGCGAGTGAGGGGGTGCCTGTGGCACGCGCTCCGAAGTGAGCCGGCCGCCCCAGGATTGCCCCACAAAGCGCGCTGGAAAAGCATGCAGGCATCCACACACGCGTTTTCACAGGATCGTAAGACAGCAGAGCTGCACGGGGCACCCCCTTCTCTGCCCTCACCCCCCAGGACAACCACACGCTGGGGGTCACATGAGTGGTGCTGGCTGGAGCCGGGGGTCAGACTAGATGGCCCTTGAAACCCCTTCTGACCCGCTTTTTAAATGTTCCTCGGTGCAGAACTTCCAGCTGAAGCACCCCCCTGAGGGCAGTCCCGCAGCCTCCGGCACGCCTCCAGGGTGGGATGGCCCCCCGCCTCCCTCGGCCAGGGGTCCCACCGCCACACTGCTCTGACCCCCAGGTGGTCTTCCTGCTGTCCGGCTGGAGCGAGCCTTCCCGCGGCCTGCGCTCTGCTCTGGAAACACCGGCCACCCAAAGGACAGGGCGCCGCCCCGCTGGGCGTGGGGGCAAAGGCGAGAGGATGCCAAGGCCCCCCACCCACATCCAGAGTTCCCTGCCGGTGGAGAGCGATGCAGCCACAGCAGGGAAAAGGGCCACAGGCGCTGGATGTGGGGGACCCATCCCTTGCCCCCCCCCGCCCATACAACACCTCCCTGCCATCCGTGTCTGCAGGCCCCGAGCTACAGAATGGCGGCTTTGAGTGTGGGGAGGCACCTGGGTTTCTCCCCTGCTCGGGCGCTTCCTGGAGGCACCTGGCTGGCCGTGGAGGGACACAGGAGGCTGGATGCGATCGCCTTGGCCCGGTCGAGCGCCCCCCTCCCCGTGTTCAGACACGTTCAGGAGCACACGGTCCCGGGGGGCTGCACTGCCCCAGACTCCTGCACGGCCCAATGAGCCGTGCGCACTTGGGCCCCGAGCGCAGGGCTTGGGCTCCCCGGGAGATGCGCGCATGCCCAGCCCGGCCGGGGCGTCACGACGCGGTCTGGACGAGGCTGCCTGTTTCGGCCTTGCTCAGCTGCTCGTCTTTCTGCCCTTAAATTCTTTTGTCTTTCCTTAAAGTCCGCCTGGAAACGCATCGGCGTCTTTGCGCACATCTTCCCCAACACGTGCGCTCACGCCGTCCTTTCGTTTACGTGCCGTTTTTGCAAGCGATCCTCCTCACCTACCACACTCCCGGTTATTACGTCTCCTAACTGCATGTTCCTCGGAGCATTTCTCTGCCGGAGAAGTCCACGGCAAAATTCGGGGAAACGCGAATGGCGAAAGACGACCCGAGCTTCACTTCCCACCGCGGCTCGGCCGGTTTGCCCCCGGGCAAGTGCGCAGGGCACGTGGGCCTGCAGCCAAGCCTGGAGTGGCGCTCGGCCGGGTCTGCTTGGCGCCCCAGCCCAGCAGGCATCTCTGCCCCCTTGACATGCCCCGGAGCCCCCAGCCCAGTGCGCGGGGTGGGAACTCACCTGGCCGTCTTCTCATTGCCCGAGGTGAGGTGGCAGTTGACAAAGCCAAAGGACGTGCCGTTGAACATGAAGGACACAGCCACCGCCCCTTTGTTTCCTGGGGGGCAAACGGCAGCGAGGGGTCACGCGGACACCCGGCCCCTCCAGGCGCTGGCAGTTCGCCTGAGCAGGTCCTCTGCCAGGCTCTGCCAAGGCCTTGTGTGCCCCCGCCCCGCCCCGCCCCGCCCCGGCCCGAGTGGAGCAAGCAAGCCGAAATCGGCCACCCCACGGAGCCCCAACACCCACTGCGGGAAGGCGCTCGCTGGGCTTTAATGAAGAAGCAGTGAGGTTTATATCCTGATTTAGGATTAGATTTATGTCCCATCTCTTTCTCTCCCACTTTCCTAATGCTAAATCCTGACAGGGTCATCCATGAAGCTGATGGGGGGGGGGGAGATTCGGGACAGACAAACGGGATTCCTTCTTCACTCAAGTTCAGCACATGGAAGGCGGGGGGAGAAAACCCGGGTGGCCGCCAGGTTGCCGCAGGCCAGAGGAGGAGACCAATGGCGACCGGGTCCGATGCCCCATCCCACACTCCCAGGCCCTGCGAGGGGCTTCCTGGGGGCAGCTCTTCTGCCGCCGAGAGTGTCGGGAGGCGTGCGCTGGGTCTGATCCAGCCCCATGGCCCGTGTGCCGCAGGGTTCCCCACTTAAGCCTAAAAGATCTACTTCAGAGGGTCCGCCTGGCGCCAACGCTTCTTGCCCTTCCGCGGCAGGCAAAACCCTTTTTATTCTCCCCGTATTTTAATTGTTAACTTGTTTTATTTAGTGGGTTTATATTTTAACATTGGATGCTGGGCAACTGTTATTCCCATTTCTATTTTTAGGATCAATTTGCTGCAAACCGTCCCGAGACGCCTAAGCATGGGGCGGTCCAGGAAAGTTTTAAACCACCAACCAGCCCAGCCAGGAGAGCTGCGGGGCCTGCCAGTCCCCCGGAGCCCCGTGCCCGCCCCTGCACGCTGGCCGGCCGCTTACCCAGCGTGTTGGCGATGCCCGTCTTCACACTGGAGGTGCTCACGTGGCTGATGCGGTTCTCGTGCTCCAGCTTGACCAGGACGGCGATTTTGATGTTCCACAGGGACTGCATGGCGATCTGGAGAGAACCCCGAGGATGGGCCCTGAGCCGGAGGGAGACGCGCTCCGAGTCGCCCCCCTCAAGGCGGGTGGTGCACGACCACCACGGGGGAGTCAGGAGGGCATGCTAGGAGGCCCCCGACGCTGCGTGCTTCGCTCCCCTTGGCCCAGAAAGGAGCCACTGGAGACGCGGGAGACAAGCCCAGGGGAATCCTGCTGCAGAGCAGAGCAGCGGGAGCAACCACGGATCTGGCTCCCTCGGGCTCGACTGCCGCCTCTCCAGCCAGGAGCGCTGCGGAAGGCCTTGGCGCCCTGCCGGGCAGACGCAGCGAGGCCCTGCCCCAGAGCCGCTGGCACTCCGGCCGGAGGGGGCTCTGCAGGGGGCACGCGGTGCTGCCCGGCGGCCTCAGGCGTCCCAGGCGTGGCTGCAGCTCGGGAGCAGGCAGGAGCTCTGCACGCGCACTCGGACCGGCCAGGCCAGGCCTCGGACCGCAACTCCGAAGCTGGAAGCGGACGCCGCGGCCGAGCCGACTTCCACAGCCGCGTGGGGCTTTCTGCGGCAGAGGCGGGCCCCGCCAGTCCCCGGGCGCTTCGGTGGCCGGGACGCCCGCAGGCTGCGCTGCTGGATCGGGCCCTTTGGGCCTCCGACCCAGCGCTGCAGAGCCGTCCACAACTCCTCCCCCCACCCCCCGCCCGCTGCGGACGCGCTCCCTCCCAACCGCCCCGGATCGGGCGCCCCCATTGCCTCGGACGACAGCGCGTGGGGAGGAGGCCGGCCACATGGGCTGCGGTCTGAGGCACTGGGCGGGGGGGGGGGGCTGTGCAGGCCCTCTGCCGCGCTGGATTGCAACGCCCATCTTTCGCAGCAGCGCAAGGCACTGTCCCTGTGGGTGGGCAAAGCCAATTCTGCAACGCCGCTCTTGACCTGCCCGGCAAGTAAGGGGGGCATGAGGATGCCCGGCAGAGTGCCCAAGGGCTGGACTGCTGGGCGCCACAGCTTGCCCCCGGCCCCGGTGTCTTCTGCTCGCAGACAGACGGACACGAGACAGACGCACACCGGCTTCCTCCTGCCCGGGGGGCGAGGGGCCACCACAGCTGTGGGGACAAGCAAAGCCGCCGCCGCCGCGCACCCACCGGCCGGTACTCGATCTCGGTGAAGTCCTTCAGGGCCCCGCGCAGGAAGTCCACCCACTCCTTGTCCCCCATGGAGTTCTCCTGCGTGCCGCACACGTAGAGGTCGTGCGGGATGGAGACCGCCATCTCGTCCAGCGTCTTGCCCAGGCCCTTGGAGGCGAACCAGGAGGAGATGCTCCTGGGCGGGGGCACGCTGCCTGCGGGAGCGAGGGGCCGAGCCGTCAGGGCGGCAGCCCGGCCCCCCTGGGGCCGGCGGGCGAGGGGGCCGGGGAGCACGCCCCAGGCGCGTGGAGGGTCTGCCCACGGCGTCTCCGGGGAAAGGAGGCCGAGCCGGCCGGCCCTCCCTCTCAGCAGACGGCCTGCGGCCACCAGAGGTGCGCTCCTGGGACCGTGGCGGCCGCAGCAGCTCCCGGCTCCCCCACCTGGGGGCAGCACTCACCCATGTTCCACGTGCCCACGAAGACGGAGATCATGTCCGGCTCGTCCTGGTTGGAGTGTCTGTTCTTCATCAGCTGCAGGAGCTGGCAGAAGGCCTCACGCTTCTGGGGAGGGGAGAGCGGCGTGCCCAGGATCAGTGGGGGACGCGTGGGCCCCCCGGAGCAGCCCACCCACCCCCAGTCCTCTCAGAGGGCTTCTCAGTCGCAAGCCACCCTCCTCGAGGTCACGGAGGAGGCTGGGAAGCACAGCAGCTGCCCTGGGGCGTCCCGGGAGGCTCAGCGCCACGGGCTGGATGTCTGTCCCCGAGAGGCCAGTTGTGCTCAGCAGCATGGCTTTGCAGGACAGACTGGAGAAAAGTCTGCCTCTGAGCATGTTCAGAGTGCAACCGCACAGCAGGACAGCCCCAGGGAACTGGCATTGTGGGCATGGCCCCCAGGTAGGCCTGAGCCGGGTGGCTTCGCCTTGTTTCGAGAAGGCAGGACGAGGCGCCTCCGGGAGGCCCGAGTGCCCACCTGCTCCGCCACGGGGCCAGCCGGCCGGCTCTGCCAAGACCGAGCGTGGCCTTAAGGGCCGCTTCCCTTGCTGCGGAGTTTCTACCCCAGGGGCAGCTAAGCAGGGGAATTAAGCAGCCGAAACACGTTTGCAAGTTTGCCATGGCAGCTGCAAATGGAAAAAGCTGGGGTGGAACCATCTGGGCATGGATTTTGCTTTTCCTAGCATTCATTAAATTAAAAAAAAAAAGCATTCCTGAAGGGAATGCCCGCAGCTAATGGACACACTTATTTTCTACACCTTAGCAAGAGGGCAAACTTGATACAGCCCGCTTCCCTCTCCCACTTGCGTACGGAGCCGTCCGCAGAGGCGTCTTGCTTCGGGCGTTTACCGATCGGCATGGCGGAGCGCCACCATTTGCCGACCAAACGTCCAGCGCATGGGCCGAGGCCGTGTGTCTTCTGGCCAGCCCCGTGTGGGAAAAGGTCTTGGCGGAAGGCGCTGGACTCACCCGGGCACTGACAAAGATGAAATCCTTCCGCTGGGTCTTGTCCTTCTCCTTCTCAAAGACGATTCCCAGCTTATTCTGCACCCGCTGGGACTTGATCAGCTGGCGGACTGGGGAGAGGGGATGCGACGGGCGGTGAGGGCGGATCCCGCTCAACCCGCCCCGAGAGGCCTCTTGGGCCACGGCTGGGCAACCAGGCGCCCTCCGACTGGCTGGGGCTCCGGCCCAAGGCGCTTGGAGAGCACCAGGCTGCAAACCCTTCTGCAGGCTCGCCCCCCCCCCCTCCGTGGCACCCTTCTGCCAGGGAAGCCCTTCCGCGGGCGGCTGGGGCAGCGCCGCACACGAGCAGGCAGGCGCCTCTGCGCACGAGGCCGCCCCTGCCTCCCGCCACCAAGGGCCAAGCCGTGCGGCCAGAGCAGGAGAGCCCACAGAACGGCTTCTCCCCGCAGCCCGGGTGGCGCGCCGGGCCTTCCAAAAGCGGCCCCGAGGAGGCCACAGCGATCTTGTGAGTGACCCCATCCGTGGAGGGGACCCATCCGTGCAGAGGAGAACGAGGGGCGCGTGGCGACGTGGCGGGAGGCGGGCCCTGCGGGGGCACGGAGAGGCCCCCAGGAGAGCGCTCACTCTTGTCGTGCGTGAAGGTGTTCCAGTCCTCCTGCGAGTCCTTCTGCTTCTTCAGGACCACCAGCTTCCCTCCCTCCACGTCCACGCTCAGGGTGTACTTCTGCGACTTCCCAATCTTGGTCAGGTCGCCCAAGGTCAGGTCCAGCTTCACCTGCAAGAGAGGGTGGGGGAGCCTGCCCTCAGGTGCCCCGGCACACGAGGCGAGCGGCTGCTGGATGCGCAAGGCGGCGCCGGGGGGGTCGCCGGGGCGGCCTGCCGAGAAGCGCAACCTGCCGCGCTTCGGGTGCCGCGGGGCTGGCAGGCCCCGGCTTTTGCAGCTGCGGGCTCGCATGCCCTGCCCAAAGTTAATCTGCAACAATCGTTCCTTGGCTGCGCTGAGTAACCTTTAAATCCAGCATGCCGCAGTTTGCATATCACATCGCATCCTGGGCTGTATTTTCTGCAAATCGGCCAGAGAGCTAAGACTGTTGGGCAGCACAGAAATTAAACCGAGTGGAGGCCCGGGATGGGGGAGGCCCAAATACTCCCACCCGTGGCAGAGGAAAGGCAGGAATCGCGTGGACTCTCAGGTTTGGCATCATCTGCGTTCGTGGTCATGCAGAGGGAGTTAAAGGGGGTGCTGAAATGCCCCCCCCCCCCCGACCAGAAAGGCTCCTCCGCCATCACATCGGCTTTGGGGAATTTTGGAAAGAAAGGCTGGAACGCTCTGCAGACTGGACCACGTAAACAGACCCGAGTCCTGCCTGAGGCTGAGCTGGGTCTCTTACAAGACTGGGCCGTGGGGGGGTGCGGTTTACCTCGAACGCCTGAACAGGAATGCTCTTGGCCTTGCGGCAGGAGGGCTGGGCGAGGCCCGGCTGCGTGGTGGAGCTCATGTCCTGGAGGGCTTTCAGGGCCTGCGACCGGAGGAGACACCGGCATTAACGCTTCTGTTGGGGCCCTTCCTGCCCGCGTGGCGGCCTGGATGCCCTCCGGCCACGAACCGGTCAGGCGCCTGCTGCACACCGCTCCGGCGGTGCATGCCGCGCCTGCCCCCACACAAATCCTGCTTGGAGTACTCCCGGGGGGGGGGGCACGTGTCTCCCGCCTTGCCTGGGTTCAGAGCTCCACCCCGGACACTAAGTGCGTGGGGAGAAAGGGGGAGCCAGCGGCCAGGTCACGGCACGGCTGACACTTCCCAGACCGCCAGGGGAGACCTGAGGTGCCCCCTCCCTTTTGGGGACAGAGCTTCCCAAGAAGGCCTCCCCTCCCCGCCCCCACCCAGAACACCATCCAGACCGGGGACAGGGTGGACACGAGGGCCGTGCTGGATCGGGCCGAGGGACCGCCTCGCCTCGCCCCGACGGGCCCGGCCTTCTGCGGCAGGAGGAGCCGGCCGAGTGTCTGGGGCACCACAGCTGGGGCAGGGGGGCCGCAGAAAAGGGGGGTGGCCAAGGGGGAAGGTGCAGCGCTCCCAACTGGCGCACGGCGGCCCCCACCCAGCCCGGCCCGGCCCGCGCACGTCACGGTCAGGCAGGCGCTGGGCATCGCCCACAGGGGACGTGCCGAGCAGGGTGGCCGGGGCAGCGCTGGCGGGCGCGGCGCTCACCTTCTTCTCGATGCCGGACAGGAAGTCCTTCAGGACGGAGAGCTTCAGCACCAGGCTCTCCAGCTCCTGCTCGCCCGTCTGGCAGGCGGCCTGGAAGGAACAAGGCGCCGTTTGCTGAGCCCGGCCCCAAGGGAAGGAGCGGGGCCGGAACCAGGCCCCCCACCAGAAACAGGCAGGCCCCAGAGGGTGGATCCTGCGCACGGCACCACCCGGGGCCTGCCTGACTGCCGCCCCGGTGGGGTTCGGCCGGGGGCAATGCGGGGGGGCCCTTCCTGTGGTGGACCGGAGGACGGACGGTCTCCCCGCAGGGACTCGGGGGACCAGCTCTGCTCTCCTTCCAGCACCAGGCTGGGTGGGACCCCTTAGGGGCCCGGGAGGCGGCGCTGCAGGGACCCAGCTGCCACGATGTTTTATGCCGTACGTTAATACAAAATAGAGGGCTTTGGCTATTGGATGGTACAGAAATAAAATTAAGGACAATAATAATGATGATGCTTAATAGATTATTAATAATGTAATAATACAATGATCATCCCCCCAGAGCTCCTACACCCGCCAGGATTTCTCAGCCAGAAAAGCTGGCCGGGGAGTATTGGAAGTCCCGGGAGGGTTCCAGGTGTGCGCCGGCCGTGCAAAAGCTCCCAGGAGCCCTTGGAGGACACCAGCAGCGTAAGCTGGGGACACGATTCCCAAGAGGTGCCCATTACCACCTCCATCCAGGTGGCGCTGACAGGCCAGGCGAGGACGTGCGGGGCAGCCCCTCCCCAGACCAGGCTCTGCACTCACGGGCAGCTCTGCAAGCCCACAAAACGCGAGTCTGTGAGCTTGACTGGCCTTGTGCTTCGGGGGGGGGGGGGGGCTCGTTTCCTCGGCTGAAGACCCCACGAGGCTTCTGGGGTTCCACAGGGGCGCCAGCAGGAGGCGCCTCAGGCAGCGGTGGTCCCAAGGGATGGGATGGGATGGAGAGCTGAGGGCACCGTGGCCAGCCAAGCCGTCTCGACCTGGGACAAGCTTGTCTGGGCACCCGAACAGTGAGGAGAGGGAGCCGCAGCGGCCTCCGCCACGCCCGCCGCACGAGGAGAGCAGAGGGGCCTGGTGCCACCCGCCGGCGGGCCCCTCTGGCCCAGGCCCGTTCCAAGCCCGGCCTGCCAAACCCTCCCAGGATTTGCAAGCAGCAGCTGCCCGCCACACGGGGCAGGATCCCAGGAGCCGGGGGTCGGAGGCGCAACGCGTTGGCCCACAGCAGGTCTCCTGTGCCTGTCCGGCTGTGCTGAGCGGACTGCTCACCGAACTGCCTGGAAGGCCCTGGAGAGCTCCAGGAAGAGGGTGGGAGGGGCGAGGGGGGGACATCTCTGCCCACCCGCTTCCTCCAGGCCAGCTGGCCAGGGCATGCTGGGAGCCGGAGTCCAGCACCTCTGGGGGCACGCCATCGGACAGAGCCACTCCACCGAGTCCTCTGGCCCAGAAAACCCTCTCATGCGCCAAGCCCCTTGCGCCAGGAAGGTGCGTCTCGGCGGCCCTCCCCTCCCCCACCAGCCGCACTGACCTGCTGCAAGATGCGGGAGACCACGGGCAAGCTCTGCTGGTCGAACACCTTGGACAGCACCTCCAGGCCGGACAGCACCTTGTCTACCTCGCTGGAAGCAGAGGAACCCGGCCTGTCACTCTCCGTCGGGCGTGGGGAGCGCGTCCCACCCAGAGGTGGCCCTTTTCCTGCTCACACCCCTCCGGCCATAAATTAGATTATGGGTTGCTAAGAAGGTTCAGCCCTAGCTGGGTTGTCCTGGGCTCACTGCCCCCTCAGGGTCCCCCTCCTTTTGGTACTTCAACAAACCCGACTCCCCCCAAGACGGCTGCTGCAGCACATTCATCGCCGGCCCACTGAGTCCTCTCCAGCCCCCGCAGCCAGCTCTCGCCAGCGACCCCCCAAGGCCAGAGCACAGTTGGGGTGCACATGGACCCCCCCCATTCAATCCCAGATGGCACCTGCAGCTTCCTGGGCTCTCTGGCACCCGGGCTGGGGGGAAGGAGAGACGCTGCCTTGCCTGGCACCTTGCCAGTAAGAACTACAAATTATGGCCTGACATCTCCTCGCCTGCACCTCATCCCAGTTCCCCATTCTGAGCCGCGAACAACGCTAAAACGCCCAACACATTAAAAACACAAGGAACACCTGGAGCATTAAACAGGAAATGCACGACGCCCCAACCAATAGGGCAACCCCCGCCTAACTGCAGGCACGGGCCGCCTGTCCAGCCAGGGTCCTTCTGCACTTCCCGCAAGCGCTCGAGCTTTGGTGTGCCTCCGTACCAGAGCGCAGCGCAGACCCCAAAGCCCCACGACTGCATTTCCCCTTCCGAATCCTGTTCCGCGAGCCGGGCAAGCCGAAGGGGCAGCACAGACGACCCCCGGCTCTGCGGGTGCGTGGCCGCGCATGCCCTCCCGGGGCCCTCGTGTGCACCCCTGACCTGTGCAGGCGCTTGCAGGAGGCGACGAGGGTCTTGTGGAGCTGCGGCAGGCTGCTGGCGCCCGCCCTGACGGCCTCCAGGTCCAGGGAGTAGCTGCCCTTCAGGTACTCGTGGGAAATGGTGCTGAGCCCGTTGGTGGCGCTGCGGGAAAGGCGGGCACGCCTGGGTAAAAGCGGCACGGACGGCAGGGGGGCTTCTGGCTCGGGGAGTGGCTGAGGCACGCGCGCTTTCTCCAGCTCGCTTCTTATTTACTTACTTACAGTTTTTATATGCTGCCCGATACTAGAGGCAGCTCAGACTTTCCTCCCAAACCAGAATATAACACGGAGCGTTTGCCCGGTCTGCCCCATGAGCACGTCTGGGTCCACACATGCACCGGCCCGCGCGTGGGTCGTGGAGGGCCGAGCTTTCGTTGTGCGGTGCGTCGCCCTTCACTACGAGGAGAGCCCGTGGTTTGCTGCTGGGCTCTGAGGTGGGCTTTCCGCATGGCTGGGTTGCCACAGCACCGCCACCCTCGATGCAGGTGGCCCGTCCCGCTGCCCGACCGGCCTGCTCCTCGCCGGCCGCCGACCCGCTTCCCCGTCCCTCTTCCCCCCGCCTGCAGCCTTCTGCCTCCCCTGCCACTCGCCCGCGCTCGGCCCTCCAAGGCGGACATTGGCTCCGCACGGGGGGAGGTTTCGCTACCCCAAGGGCAAGGCTGCGCCAGATCGTGCTGGCCCGGGGCTGCAGCCTGAGAGGGGCAGGGCGGAAAGGGCCCACCCTGAAGCCCCCGTCCCCCCACAGCCCGCGTGCTTTCGGCAGGGGCCGCCCGCCCAGCTGCGAGGCTGCCTCAGCACACACGAGGGCTGGCGAGGCACTCCCAGGGGGAGGTGGGCTTAGCCAAAGTGGGGAGCGGGAAGTAATGGAGGGTGAAAACCAGGAACACCCCCAACATTCGAGCCCCCCGCCCCATGCACCGTGGCCAGCGACCCCCACCCATGGGCCGACACAGGCCGCCCTCCGCAGCGCTGCAGCTTACCTTTCCAGAGCGCCGTCCTGCACAGCAGGGGCGTTGCTCGCCCCACTGGGGGTGGCGCTGCCCACGGGAGTGCTGGTGGAGGCACAGCGGGGGGGCAGCGGGGGCTTCTCATCCTCCCCATCTGCAAGAGAGAAGGCAGGTGGTCCCGCGGGGGCACTTCCCCGGAGGCGCCAGATGCGGCGTGGCGGGACCGTTTCGCCTCCAAAGGGTGGCCAGGAGAGAGTCCCCCCCGCCCCGGCTCAGGCAGCCTGGAGCCCTGGGGGGATGGGGGGGATGGCTCCTGCGGAGTCCCCCGCCCACGCACCTCCCTTAAGGCTTAGGCAAAGGCAGGCCAGAGCTCCGGGCTTCTGGGCCTCAGCCCCACGGCCTTTGCCCCCCGGAGCCAAGCCCGAACGGAGCCCTGCTGGAAGCGGAGGGGCCGGAGACACGGCAGCCCCTCCTGCTCCAATTGCGCCACACGAGCCACCCCAGAGGCCTGCCCCCCCCAGGCGCTCGAGCTGCCGCAAGCACCAAGCTTTAGGCAGAAGTGGGATCAGAAAAGGCCTGTACCTGGGGAGGGATGGCCCCGCTCGCCCCGCCACGCTCTTCCGAGACAGCGCCTCCCCGTGCCATCCAGACCGCGGCCAGGGAGGAGCAGTACGCACCCGAGTAGTCCCTCTCCTCCGCCGGCTCCTTGTCCTTCTCACGCTCCACCGCGAAGAGGAGGGTGCAGACGAGGCCCTGGTTCGGCTGCAGGTAGAGCGCGATGAGCTCCGGGAGGGTCTTGAAGCGTCTCACCTGGACCCCCTGCGATGTCTGCGGGGAGGGAGGGAGATGCTGACGGGGCGGGAGCACGTGGGCACGAGCTGCGACGCCGAGCGCGAACAGCGGCCACGGCAGGCGCGCGGACCGGAAGCCAGTGAGACCCGGGTGGGTTCTGGCCGGGGGATCCCGGCAGGGGCCACCACTCTGGCGCCCGAGGTCCCGAGAGCAGCCCGCGGGCCTCCGAGGAGGATGCTCCGAGTGAGGAGGCCCTCCAGTGCCCCACGGCCGACGGCAGCCAGCTCTGCCGAGAGCCCAAGCCGAGGGGCAGGATTCCCCAGGGACCGTCTCTGAAAGCACCTCCCGTCTGGGCAGAGGAAGCTCCGTCCCGACATCCCCAGCCAGGCCGACCAGAGGCCGACCGCACTGCGAGCGGGAGCTCCGCAGGTCTCTGCCCTGGAGAAATCCCGCTGCTCGTTAAAACCATCTGCACACCTCTTCCTCCAGGGCCAAGGCGGCAGGCACAGCTCTGCTCTCCGTTTGATCCTCACAGCCACCGCCAGGTGGGTCCGCCTGAGTGAGGATCTGCCACTGGCCCAGAGCTCCCCCACACCACAGGGCCTGGAACCGGATTCCCCCCGTCCCCGTCGAGCCGCCGCTCCGCCCGGCTCCATCCGCTCCCCCTTTTATGCAGGTGTGGGGCACCGCTTCCTCGAGCCACTGCGCGGCTGCAAAGCAGCCTCTGTTCCTTCTGGCGAGTCCCACGGCGGGTGAAGCCGAGACGGCCACATTCCGCCGTGGGCCCACCCTGGGCATCTCCGCCTGGCAGGGAGATCAATTCTGCTTTTTGCCGGAATAGGAATGCAAGACCGGCCCTGCTACATCCGACCCGGGTCCGTCCGGTCCAGCAGTCCACCGACACGGCGGCAAACCAGCCCCTTGATTCAAGCGGGAATCTCAGTCGTGCTGGGAGAGAGGGGCTTAATCCTGCCACCTGAAGGGGTCAGGAGCGAGAGGCGGTAAAACCCAGAAAGGTTTGCTTTAACACGGATGCCAAGCAAGCGCTGTACACGGATTACAGACGGGAAAGGATGCACGAGGAGAGAAAGATGTCACGGGGTGGGGAAGGAGGCAGGGGGCAGCAGGAGGTTCACTCACTCAACGCAAGGGAGTGCCACCAGCCCGTCCAAGCAGCAAGCGGCCACTCCAAGAGGGCCGTGGCTATGTATGAACGTGCCCATGGCCGAACAGGCCCGGCCGAGCACCAGGCCCGAGCCAGAGGCCCACGAGGCACAGAGGCGAGGCAGAGCAACCAGCCAACCAACCCAGGCAGTGGAGCGAAACAACCAAGGATCGGGGAACCAGCACTGCAGGACACCAAGCCACACCATCCTGCTCAGGGGGACGCCCAGTTTCGCCTTGGATGCCCCCAGTGTGGGAGAGCCCGCCTCCTCCCCAGGCAGCTGGTCCCACTGCCGCGTTGCTCTGACGGGGAGGAAGCTTTTCCTGATATCTAGCCTGAATCTGGGCTGCTGCAACTTGACTTGATTATTCCGAGTCGTGCACTCTGGCATCAGCGAGAAGAGAGAGATCTTGGCCTTCCTCTTTGTGGCAGCCTTGGAGGTCCTTCTGGAGGGATCTCATGTCCCCCCTCAGCCTTCTCTTCTCAAGGCTGAGCATGCCCAGTTCCCCCAGTCCCTCCTCACAGGGCAGCGTTTCCAGCTCCTGAATCATTTTTGCTACCCTCCGCTGGACCCTTTCTAATTTACCTGCATCTTTCCGAAATCTTGCTCCCCAGAACTGGACACGGGACACCAGGCGGGGTCTGATGAAGGCTGAGCAGAGGGGAACTAGTACTTCACATGCTTGGAAAGTGGTGCCTCAGCTCATGCACCCCAAAACAGCATGTTGGCAGGCCGCACACCATGTTTCAAAATTCCTAACACCCGAACAAAAGCGCAGAACGGGAGGCGGGTGCTTTTGCCGAGGAGAAGCATCGCAGCCGAGGCAGCTCCGCCTTCCCTGCCTCCCGGTTCTCCCCTAGAAATCTTCCCCCGGGTTGTTTTAAGGGGACCGTCCTGGCTGGGCTCTGAAACCAGAAGGGGGCCCACCTGGGGGGATGGTGTGGGGGGGGTGCTTGCAAGCAGGAACGGGCCCAAGCCGGAGCAGCCCAGCGCCAGGCCCTCCCCCGGCCCACCACGAGGGAAGAGTGCGGCACGCGGCCGGCCCTGCCTCCCTCCGCAGAGGCGGCCTTTCGAGGCGGCCGCCCCCTGCAGAGCGCCACCCCGGCTGACTCACACAACATGCCAGGCAGAGGCAACCCTCCACACATCTTGGACTACAACTCCTACCTTCCCCAACCACGTTGGCGGCACTGGCTGGAGCAGATGGGAATTGCATTCCATCAGCTCTACTGGGGGCAGCATGGCCTGCCCTCAAGGCCTCCCACGCAAGGCGCTACCCCGGAGAGCAGCGATGCTTGAAAACGAGGCGCGATCCCGTGGGGCCAGCCGGGGCGGCCCGTTTCTGGGCGGTTTCTCCCACTGAGAGGACGACCGAGCCGACGAGCAACTGCCGTTCGCGCCCAGGCAGCTCCCAGAGGCGCCGGGCGGGCGGCGTGGCCCCCGCGGGTTGCAGGCACAGGGCAGCTCTGGGGCCGGGCCGGGCCGGGCCGGCACGTCACATGCCTGGCCGCGGCTCAGGCGAGGGAACCCGCGGGGCGGAGGGACGGCCTCCTTTTCCCAGCCCGCCCGCCCGCCCTCCTCCGGACTCCCTTTTCCTGCCAGCCGGGACCGCACAAAGAGGCCACTGTTGTGCTCTCAATGAGCAGCACACGGGCCAGGCTGACCGCGCGCCAAGATCAGCAGCGCGTGGGCACCGCAGGGCTGCGGCCAGGCCAGGCCGTCCTGGAGACGCAGCTCGGCAGAAGGGCTGCCCGCTGGCCGTGAAGGAAGCAGCACGCCAGCCGCTTCCCGAAGGACAGAACGAACCTGCCCCGTCCTCTCCCAAGCCCGGTCGGGCCCGGCATTCCACGCTCCTCTCACCGTCCCCATCCAGGCCTCGCTTCCAGACTGGCACGTGCCACAAGGAACAGAACGGACGGGCCCGGAGGAGGCTCCCCTCGGGGCAACCGTCTCTCCCTGCACCTGGCCCCGGCAGAACCGAGGCAAGCCGCCCTCACAGGCCTCCTCCTCCTCCCTGCTGTGAAGCAGACCGACTCCCTTGGAAAGTCTCCCAGGCCAAGCGGAACCACCCCAGGCTCAGGCACCGCGTGGGCACAGCACCCAGAGGCATCGGGCAGAGGACCGGAGAAAAACGGGCCAACTCCCTCAGAAAGTCCCCTAGGCCGGGAGCCGGCAGCGCCCCTCGTCTCCTCGCTGGAGCGAGGCCTCTCCGGGCGGCTTCGTTCTGCCCAGTCCTCTGCCCGGGTGCCTCACCGGAGCCCCCTGAGCTACAGCGGCGCGTGGACGTCACTGCCTTTGGGCTTGATCCGAACTGAACAGAAGTCACCAAGTTCTCCATGTGCAGGGAAAGAGCCTGAGAGGCCAAGGCCATCAGCTGAGGGAGAGGCCCAGACAAGCAGCCGTGCCCTCCGGCTGAGCACACGCCCAGTTCCTCGACACCAGTCTTTCTGGTGCCGAGTCGCGACGGCCCCTCGCAGTTCGGGCAGCCGCCTCGGGTCCGCACAGCTGCCTGGCAGGCAGGCAGGCCCAGCCGGCCTCCTCCGTGCTCTGGATTGATCTCAAACGCTGCCTTTACCTGCTGCAGGCGGGTTCGAGTCCTGCTTCGCAAGATTAAACTATTGCCAACATTTGCTGACCTTCCTAGCTGGGAGGGAACAGACCGGGGCAGAACGCCGGAGGCCCCTGCCCCACCGCCACACGCGCACCACAGCGGGAGGAGCCCCTCCGCCCACACCAACGCACAACCGGACGACGTGTGCGGCCAGGAAGGTCACCAACCTTTCCCGCTAAAGAGACTGGGTGAGATGGCAGGCGGGGGAGAGCAGGCGGCCAGTAAAGACAGGCCTCGCATCTTTATTTGAAGTGGGCCCGCTGGGTTCAGCTCCTGGAAGAGTGAGCGGCGGGCAGCTGATCAGCTGGGAAAGAGCGGGGTCCCTTCCAGCCGTTGTGGTTGCAAGCTGCCTTTCCCTCCAGACACAACCCGGAAGCTCGTCCCCGTGGCCACAGCTGTGGACGCGTGGGAAGGGGCCGCCCGTTCTGCAGGACGGGCGTGAGAGCCCCCCGTGTCGCCGGGGGCGCCGACTCACTCTCCGACCCCTCGTGGCCCAAAGGCAAGGGAGACTCTGCCCGAGGCACCCACGTTTGGAGCCGAAGCCGCCCGAAGGCCCTCGCGGGCTCTCCAAAAGCAGCAGAATCCGAGCAAAAGCGTGGCTCCGGGGAGGAGGCGGAAGGTGCCGTCTCACCTGCACGGCCAGAAACTCCTCTTCGTCTGGCAGGATCCGATAGGTGTGGACATGTTTCTGGAACCTGTGGCAAGAGAGAGAGAGAAGGGAGCTCTTAAAAACGGCGGAAGCACCAAGCATGCCTTCAGGGGCCCGTTCTCAGCAACACGGAGACGAGCCAGGGCTTCTGCGGTTCATTCCAGGGCTGAGGAGCCACGGGGAACGGCTGCTCAGGCCCACACCTTTTCCGCCAAGCTCTGAAAGCGAACTGAGCGCGGCCACCTTATGCTATACGCAGCGACACCTGGCGGGGAGCCTTCCCCCCTTCTCCCAACCTGGTGCCCTCCAAATGGGCAGGACTGCAATGCCCATCATCCCCAGCTGGCTGGAAAAAGCCATTTTTGGTTTTAGCGGACTGGGTGTTCTCTGCAGCTCTTTTCCCAGCCTGCTAGTTTTCTAAATGAGGGTGAAGAACGGACGGCTTCTTTTAACTTTGGGGGTGACAGTTTTAGAAACTAGCTAAAATCATGGCTTTTTTTTTACCCTCGTACTAAACACGCTGACTTGGGCCGGAGCTCCATTTCGTTGGGAAAACAAGGAGAGCCCATTTTCAAAATCACAAGTCATCGCCCAAGTGCCGACGACATGGAGATGCCCACCTGGCCGTCCCATTATAAAATGTTCTACAACTAAGGTGGGCGGAAGGGACATCGTGGCAGAGCTGATGCTCCAGGCCCAGCTGCATGAAACGGACACCTCGCACATGCCCACACACACACACACACACACACAAATATGCACACAGTCTGAGCAACTCCACGCATGTGTGTCCTTTGTGTGAACTTCTACGCCAGAGACAAATTCAAAGTAAAACGCCAAATTATATGTATGCAAATTTTAAACAAACAGGAGGCACCCACTGCAAACACGCCAGGAGCTTCACTTGTGTTTTAAAGAGCCCGCTGAAAGACGACCGTCTGAGAAGGGGCTTCGAGGAGAAAACCACACGAGCCCCCTTCTCTCGGACAGGGAGAGGAAGGGCCGCGGCCAAGCAGAGAGCGCGGGCCGCTTCTCGGGGACAAAGGCCTTCCACGCCACGCCACGCCACGCCACGGGGCAACTGCAGCAGCAGGGTATGGGGGAACGGTCCCCTCGCCTGGAGGGGAAGCTGCATCCCGGATCCTGGCGGCACTGGCCTCTCCCTTCCGGCGGCTGGCTCGGGCACAGCTGCACACACGCGTGTGAGGGCACAATCTTTGCCATGGAGCAGCTGCCAGCCGGCACCCCGGGGGGGCGGGCAGGACCTGCAGCCCCCAAACCTTTCCTGTGTGGCTGTAACAGGGCCTTCTGCAGCACAGTCTCTCACAGATGTGCTGAATGGCAGCTCCCATCATCCCCAGCACTGGCCATGTTGGCTGGGCTTTACAGGAGTTGCGGTCTAACTCTTCTGCGGGGCAACAGGTGGGAGAAGACAGCTCTAAAACAAGCAAGAAATCTCAGAGAAATGTGCCGCTCAACATCCTGCACGGAAAAGCTGGAGCGAGGGGAGCTGCTTGCCCCAGCGCCCGAAACGTCCACAAGCCAGTGGGGCACACGCCTGGCACCGCGTCATCAGGAACGCCTCCCTGCCCCTTTGCCTGATAAAGTGCAGCCCTCTAAACCTTTATGCGCACAATCTCATTATTTCATAAGCCATACAACAACCCTGCAGGGTGGGCCACTGCCATTTCTATTCCCACCGGGGGCACGCAGAGAAGCAACCGGCCCATTCAGCCCCGGCTCCCCCCAGAAAGCGTAGCATGGTTTGCCCTCATGCGCCGTCCGTCAAAATGCCGCCGTGCCACTTCAAGGGCTGCCAGGTTTGCTGGGGATGGTGGGGGCTGCAGCCCAAGACCCCTGCGGGGCCATGGGTTGTGGGCGGCCCAAGAGGCCGCGAATGCTGGGCCAGATGAGCCCTCGGGCTTGCCCTGGAAGAGGCAGCTGCTGGAGCGGGGTCCGCAGCGCCCGGACAGCACAGAGCCCCCCAGCCACAACAGGAGAGGGCGAGCAAGAAGCAAGACACAGGAAGGAAGGAAGGAAGGAAGGAAGGAAGGAAGGAAGGAAGGAAGGGCCAGCCGGCTCTGGCCATTCGCCAAAATGGCACCTCTCCCCCCTCCCCCGCGAGTCCGTTGCGCCCCTTGCAGCAGGGGGTCTCCTACTATTTTGGGGCTGGCACGCGGGGAAGGGGGAGCAGGGGGCTGGCGCTTCCGTCCCGCCACTCCCCTCCTGTGTCTCCCTCGGATGCCACTCGGAAGCCCTGCACCACTGGTCCCCCCAACTCCCTTCCCAAACCGCTCCCCAAAGCTGGGCAACTCACCGCAGGAGGGCCAGACCCCCCCACCCCTCAAGCCACCAGCTGCCTGGACAGGGCACTCAGCGAGTCGCAAGGACCGCAAGTGCCGTGCGACGCAGGGAAAGGCCCCAGCCCCCCCCTCCCCCCTCCCCCCCCCCCCCTGCCCCCCCCCCCCGCCCCCCCCCCCCGTGGCAGACACAGCGCTGCCTTTGTCGTCCGTCAAGCCACTGCTGGATCGGGAAGGGGAGAAGAGCCAAGCCGGCCTGCGAGGGCAGGATGTGGAGAGGTGACTCAGCGGCCGGGAAGTCCTGAGTCAGTCCCCCGGCCCAATGGAAGCCATGGGTCACACTTGGTCCCGAGTGGCATGTGCAAGCCTGCCCCCGCCCTCCGGGGGCATTGCACTACAGAGCCCATCATCCACAGCCAGCACAGTGCCAGTACCCGGAGCATCAGGCCGGGGGCGGGGCTCTTTGCTTTCTTCCCACACCGGCACCCTACCCTTTCTCTCTCCCCAGCGCTGCACAACTCGGCACAGCTTGTCTTCCAATGGGTGCTCCCCGGAAAGGCACTGGCACCCCGACTCGTCATGGATCCGTTCTGGGGGGAACGTCCAGCTGAACTGCCCCTCACACAGCCGCTTGCCTCTGAACTCCACAGCACGCCAACAAGCCCATCCGGTTCAGACCGCCACATACGGGGCGTTTTCCCAGGCCGGCCCCAATGACCGGGCGCCATGGGGCACACCATGCCCCATTCATGGTCACCAGGCAGCCTTCCCCGGCCTGGACCCTTCAGAGGAGCCGGACTACAGTGCCCATAATCCCCGTCAGCATGGCCAATGATGGGCGGTGGGGAGGGCTGCCACCGACTCCGGATCCCCCCAGGCCCGTCTGGCGTGAGCTGGTCTTTCCTGGGGAGGGGCTGCTGAGACCCACCGGGCCACCTCGTGCCGGGACTCATCCGAAGAATACGCTGATCCGGGTGGAGGTCGAAAGGATGAGCCCCCTCTGCCTCCTCATCAATGCCAGGCCACCTCGGCGGCCAGAACCCACTCGGGACCACGGCCACGACGGAGTGGAGCACGGCAGTGCCGGACACGCTCCCCTCACAGAAGTGTTACTTCCGAATCACGAGAAGCAGTAGTTCTCCTATACTCCTCGCTAGTCAGACCTCACCTGGAATTCTGCGTCCAGTTCTGGGCACCAGGATTTAAGAAAGTTGCAGGAAAATTCGAAAGGGTCCAGAGGAGGGCGACAGAAATGATCCAGGGTTTGGAAACACTGCCCTGCGAGAAGGGACGGAGAGAACTGGGCATGTTCAGCCTTGAGAAGAGGAGGCTGAGGGGGGACATGAGATCCTTCTATAAGCACCACAAAGAGGAAGGCCAAGATCTCTCCTTGCTGATGCCAGAGTGCAGGGCACGGGAGAATCAAGTCAAGTCGAGGCAACCCAGATTCAGGCTGGACATCAGGAGGCCCCATCGGTGCGGGTGTTCAAGGACAGGCTGGACGCGCACGTGGTGGGCATGTCGTGAGCAGAACCTGCTGGAGCCGGGGGTCAGACTAGATGGCCGGGAGACCCCTTCTGACTCGCGCTGTTTCAGTTTCTAAAAGCTTCCTCGCTGTCAGAGCAATAGGGCAGTGGATCCAGCTGCCCAGAGAGGTGCGGGGCTCTCCCACATGGGGGACATTCAAGGACAAACTGGAGAGCCACCTGAGTGGGAGGTGCGGCTTGGTGTCCTGCACCAGCAGGGGTTGGATCCGAGGGCCCCCTTGGCCCCTCCAACTCTTCTGTTCTACGATTCTATGGACCAGCCACCCAGGGACACAATCCAACGTACGTCTAGAGAGGAAAATGGCCTTCCATCTCGCGGTGTTTCCCAGCCCGCACAGGGAGTTGGAGGCCTTTCTACCGAAGCTCGCACAGCGTTATGCCTCTAAACTTTTGCAGGGCGAGTGCCAGGGAGGCCGCCTCTGGCTCTGCCCTCCACCGGATTCCCGCAGCCCTCTGGGTCTGGCAGGTTCCAGGCAGCCAGGCTGGACTGCGCAGCTACGGACTGGCAGCCTTCCCGGCTTGCCAGACTGCAGCTGCAACAAAGGTGGCGTTCAAGGTCCCACGAGGGAGTCAACCCGTCCCTGGCGGGCCGCCTATCCAGCCAGGCAAGGCCTGTGGCTGAGCCAGGGCGGACCTGGGGAGGGGGCCTGGCTTAGCTTCGGCCCGGGCTGGGAGCTGCAGCTTCTGCACTCAGGTTTGTGGGTGCCGGCGCCCACGAGGTGTGACGGCTGCCTGCTGAGGGTGAAGCCTTCTCCGTGGAGGCTCCCTGTCCGGGGAACACCCTCCCCAGGAAGGTCCGCCGGGCGTCCTCACTGCCCTCAACTGCCGGAGAGGACTGCTCCAGCCCGTCCTCTTCCTCCGTCCTGGCCGTGCCCAGCGGACATCTCCTTTTGGGAGGAGAAGGGATTCAGATCAACATTGTTCTCAAAGCTCTCCAATATTCTTCTTAAATATCCGCCTGCCTCTTGCTACTTAACGCAAGGTTAGTGGAACCGGATCGGTGCCCCTCAGGCCGCCTAGAGACCGGTCTCCCAGCACTGGAAAGATGAACAGCCACTGCAAGAATGCGGTGGCCTGAGAAACCGACGAAGCCCCCCGTCCTCGAACAGGTGGTGTTCAGCCACGACCTCCGGACGGAGAGGCCCGAGGAATCCGGCCCGCCCTCGCTGACGATGTCGGCACATGATCGCCACTGATATCTTGCCATATATGGCACACGCGGGCAAGGCAGAGCCGCTTCCAAAGCCCCGTGTCCACTCTGACGGCTCCGCCTCGAGGCCAGCGTTCAGTTCAACCTTTGATCGGCTGCCGTTTCCTACAAGCTCCCGGATGCCTCCAAGGCCCGTTGCTCGCGCTCTGGCACGCCCCCCTGCGTGGCAGAGCCCCCCACGGAGTGCCGCAGCGCCCTCGCTCGCCTGGCTGCTGGGAACGTCACTCGGGCAGCCCAGCGAGTAGGCGAGCAAGCCTGCCGGGGCCGCTTTCGCACTCTGGGGGCAGGAGCCCCAGAGGCCCGCAGGAGGGGCTGCCCCTCCCCTCCCCCTCCCGCCACATGGGGATGGCCGCTCCCCAGGCCAGGGGCCACCCCTGCCACATGCCACGACGGCGCTCCTCTTCTCTCCTCTCTCCGGAGGGGGGAAAGCGTGACTCCGGGCTTAAAACAGTCGCAAGACGGAGACGGGCCGAGGCGGGGCCCAC